CTAAGCCTGTGTGCCACACCAAGATCCCGCATGTCACAACTAAGACCTGGGGCAGCCAAAGAAGTCAAGTCTAGAGAAGCAGACTGAAGGAAGACCTGTCCTGTTTGGTCCTGCATCTGGACCCTGGGCTTGACCCCTCCCCTCAGCACCAGGCTAGGGGAGAGAAGACACTGTCACAGACCTTCCACACACACCCAGTGACACCGTTCCCTGGGCTCCTTCCCTTCTCGGCAGAAGGAAATGTAGACAGAGGAGTAGCCATGGGCTGGCCTATCAGTGGGGTTGTCCTGCCCATCGCCCTCTCTGAGGATGGATGTTTCCTCCAATGTGACCCTCTCTCAGTGCAGGAGGCTGGGAGGCATCTGCAGGTGGACCTGTGCTCACAGTTAGACCCCAGGCTCCAGTCACCCTGTGCCTGCCTGGGCTCTTTCAGGCTTACCTGCTGGTCTCTTCCATTCCACAGAGATCTGTCACACACCTTTTCTGCCCTAGGCCCGGTTCTGGATACTGGGAGGAAGGCAGTGAACAAATCCCTGCTGAAGGGAAGCTGATACTCAGTGGGGCAGGTGGACAATGAAGGAGGTAGCCTCTTAGCTAGTGTTTAATGAACACAAGAGCCACAGTAATTGTAGCAAGTAAGCAAGTTGTGTGTTCCATATTAGTTTCTTAAATACAGCAGCAGTGCGGATGTGTGCACACACATGTGCACCCATGCGTATACAGACACAGACACACACACACACACACACACACACACACACACGGCTTATCTTACTTCCCCGGGTCTGTCCAGCTGTGTCCTGTTTTGGATTGAGCTGGACCAGAGGTGGCTTTCTTCTGTCTGTGTTCAGGCAGGTATTATGTTGGTTGCACATACTTGTGGTTAGATTAGCATTGGATGGGCGTTCCTCCCAGCTGAAGATTAGAGTTGGCTGTGAAAGGTCTCCTTTCTTCCCCCAGGGCCAGGCAGACTTTTGCTGTCCAGCACCCTGAAGACAAGGCCAATCTGTGTATTTGTGCCTGTCATTTTCATGCCTCAACATGGAAGGCGTGGCCCTGAGACGTCTCCTGGCAGACAAACGTAGATAGCTTGTTCAGAAGCTGATTGACAAATAATGTATTTCTCCTCTCACTGGAAAATAGAACTCGAACTTATTTTGTTAGGTGATTTCTCAGAAAGCTGCATGTCACTGTCCCTTGGAAAAACCCCGCAGACAAGGAAGAAGCAGTGTTTCCTGCAGGGACAGCCCAGAGCACTGGTCACGGAGTGACTGCACTATCTATTTGATACAGAAGCAGAATATTGGTTTGTGAAAGTCTGAGAAGTCATGAATATCCAAGGACAGCTTTTGGATGATTTTTGGGTACCCTGGAGTAAATTTTTAAGTACCTGGAGGATCGCTTGCATAACACTTTTTTTCGTGATTTGAAGGTCTAGGTTTGCTGACCTTATTCTCCAGTGGTGTAAGTCTGGAGAAAATTGTTAATGAAAATTCAAGTTTAAAAAAATAATGGGTAAGCTGGAAAGATGAGTAGAAATTGAGGTGGAATTAAATAGGGACAAATAGATAGTCTGGAAAGTCTGATTTTGAAAATTAATTCCCTGACTGTGATAGGGCAAAGCCCTGGTTAGAGTCCTGTTCCGGGTGTGGCAGTGGTTAGTGGGTTAGTGACCTCATGTTGAATCGGGGCCACCTGTGTTAGGCATTAAAAATAAATGTGTTCTTCATTTACATGGTTAAATATAGAATTGGGATCAAGGGTCTGGGTTCCCTTATTCTGACCTGGGCAGACACCATGGGAGTGCTGGGGTCTATTTGGTGACCTGGGGGTTTCTAGGGTGTGAGAGTGGGTTCCTGGAGGGCTCGGGGAGAGAAGCTGGGAGAGAAAGGCTTTGTGGGATGGTGGAGGGAGTGTTCCAGGAATCTGAAGGGCTGTTATTGCACGACAGAATTATTCTGGATATCTTTAAAGGCCTGAGCTGGACCAAGGGCTGGAAGTGGAACAGCCACAAGTCTTGGTCTGATTCTAGGAAGACTATTTCTCTATTAAAGTAGCAAAGAAAGAGGGAGTGCTGTGCCAGGTGACTCTCAGCCCCTGTTTAAGCAGAGGCTGGACTGCTGAGGCCAGGAACCCCAAGGAGGCTTCAAGGATTTCTTCGACCTTGAGTTTTATGGCCTTGGTGGAGAGGACAGGAAGGGCAGTGAACTCAAGAGCTTTACCTGGATCAGATTCTTTATCAGAAACTTCTCTGGAGGCAGCAGCAAGAATGCAGGACCCAGGCTTCTCAGGTGGCTCGGTGGTAAAGAATCTGCTTGCCAATGTGGGAGACACAGGTTCCATCCCTGGTCCGGGAAGATCTCACATGCCATGGAGCAACTGAGTCTGTGTGCCTAGAGCCCGTGCTCCACAAGAGAAGCTACCACAATGAGAAGCCTGCGCACTGCAACTAGAGAGGCGCCCCCACTCGCCACAATGAGAGAAAAACCTGCACAGCAATGAAAACCCAGCACAACCAAAAATAAATAAATATGAAAAAAGAGTGCGGGACCTAGTGGACTCAGTTGCAGGGCCCATGGGGAGGCCCCTTGATCCTCCATGGAACACCTTGTCTACTGCCACTGGGTCTCCACACCTCCCAGGGCCACACAGGTCGGTTACCCAGCTCTGGTCACCAGGCAGCTTCTGGCCAGAAGGAATCCTCTCCCTTCTGCTGCCTTCCTCCTCCCCCCAACCGCCGACCTTTCCCGAAAGTTCTCCCTGCTGCCCTCAGCAATCGTACCCGAAACTGAGGCGGTGAACGCCCTTCACGCTCTCACGTGCCTTCACTTCCCCATCAGAGCTGTGCTGCCAGAGGACACTCTCCTCTCATTTCTTTGGTCTGGTGCCCAGCTTGCCCTCATGGTACCGAGAACAGAATTTTAACCATCTTATGGATTCACCAAAGTGAATGAGTTGATTTTAGTACTTTTCAGAAAGTAATTTCAAACAAAGATGCCTGATGATAGAGATAATCTCTACTGAATGTTTGGCTGGGTCCTGAGTGGGTGATGCTTCTCGGTCACACATGTTCAACAAGGTGGAGGGGCTTGCTATTTCTCAGGTGATCTCGTGGCGGCTGTGAAAGCTGAGCTCCCACACCTGTGCAGCTACTGTAGCGAGTAACCCAGGCCACTCTGTCTGGGCCGTTCTGTTCCTTCTTTCACTTCAAAATGCTGCCTTCCATCCTTCCGTCTGTAGAAAAAGGGCAGGGTTTCATCACCACTGATCTCTGACACACTTGAGCCTCCATCTCCTCAGCACCAACCGTGTAAGTCCTTAGGGCTGTCGGAAATAGCATGTGGGCTGCGCTTAAGTCACCTTCTGGGTGACTGACCATGACTGCCTCTTCAGTGCTGTCACATGCAGGAGGCATGTTTCTGGGCCCTGGTTCTGGGGCCTTTGCTGTTGGGGGCCCTCTGGGTGCTCTTTCTTTCATCACAAGCTCAGGTGCAGGGTGCATGGGGCGCCAGTGAGTGGTGCTTTTGTCCTAAAGCCTTAAGAGAGGGGATGGGGTCTGTGCCAGTCTGGGCAGGAGTCGGGGGAGAGTGCAGGCCGCACTTGTGTTACCAGACCAGACTTGAGTCACTCCACTCACCCGTGCACAGTAAAGGCAGCCTACTGACAGCGGGTTGTGGTGAAGTAAAGTGCAGCGTTTATTGCAGGGTGCCAAGCAGGTGTCCAGGGTAGCTGGTGCTTAAAGCACCTGGACTCCCCTTTGGCTTTTGGAAAGCCTTTTAAAGTCCAAGTGAGGGAGGGGAGTCCCAGGGTGTGTGACCAGCTTGTGCAGAGCTCTCTGATTGGTTGACGGTGAGGTAACAGGGCTATTAACATAATCAGTCCTCAGGCTCAGTAGGTCTAGAGGCTACAAGTAATTCATTTCTTCCATCTGGTGGAGGTTTTAGCATCTGTAAGAGAACTCAGGAACGTGTTTGAGATACGGTTATCTGAGTGTTTCAGAGAGGAGCTAAAGCAGAGGATATGGGGGAGGGGTGTGTCCCACAAGGTTCTGCTTGGTTACACCAGTGATCTGCTCTCATCTGGTCTCCCCCAAAGCCTATCGCCACCCACCCTTTGTTTCCTGGTGGCCCTTGCAGGGCTGCCCCTTTCTGGGTTTCTGACCACGGGGCAGCCACAACCACTCCTGGGTCCTGGCCACAAGGGTGGAGCCATGTGTGTGGGGTGAACTCACACTGTCCTTCCATGCCAGCACTTTCTGTTAAATAACACATACAATAAAACAAGAGCAGCAAAAATGGGGAACTTCCCTTCCTGTGGGAAGTGAGGTTCAGCAAGACCACTTGGGAAACAGGGCTGAACTCATTGTGCAGCTGCTTCTGCCCCCCTGTACTTCTCCCACCCGTGGTTCTGCTGCAGACCCCTGGTTTCCTGGGGACGGTCATCCTCTCTGCGTTGGGTTGGGTTACTCAAACCTCAGGCCAATCAATCAGCTTGTTCAGGGGATGCTGCACTCTGATTGGCCAGCCAAGCCTAAACCTGGGAGTGGAGGCAGGGGCCTCGTGGGTGTGTGAGGTGAAGGCATGGTGTTCAGTGTTCCCATCCCTCACCCCTGTAGCCCTGCCCCAGGCCGTGGGGGCTGCCTTCCCCAAATCTCTGTGGCTTCACAGAGTTGGGGGTCCCCTGCTCAGCAAGGCCTGTGCTGACCCAGAGAACTGGGGCCTCTCAGGGTGGATGTGTCAGAAGCCTTGGGGACCGGATAACCCAAGTCTGAGAAGCCCTGTTCTCTGTGGACAAGGGGCAGGTGATTTTCCTTAGCAGTGTGATCATGAATCCATGTCAGTACTAGCCTACAAAGTTATGTTTTCTGAAAAGATCTTTCCATGTACCAGGTGTTCGAGTGGCTGCCCTCTCCAGGCTGATTGGGGTTGCAGTGTCTGCAGTTTGCAGAACTGTTCCAGCCCTCCCCCTTCTCTGACGGCCCTCCCTCCCTTGTGCTGCAGGGAGCTACTGGAGACCACGTGCCGCCTGGCCAACACACTCAAGAGGTATGGAGTCCGCCGAGGGGACCGAGTGGCCATCTACATGCCTGTCTCCCCGCTGGCTGTGGCTGCCATGCTGGCCTGTGCCAGGATTGGAGCCATCCACAATGTCATCTTTGCTGGCTTCAGTGTGGGGTCCTTGGCTGGGAGGATCAACGATGGTGAGCACGTGGGCAGTGGGATGGAGGGAGAAATCTGGGTCCCCCTTGGCCTTCAGGGACTCAGGGTGGTGGCAGACATCACTGAAAGTCACGGAGACAGGTGATGGGCACTGCCAGGCACAGTGCATGGCTGAAGGAGCATTTGCTCTATGAGCTGAGATCTAAGTGCACTGGATTGGACCACATGAAGAAGGAAGATTCCAGGTGGAGCGAATGGCATAGGTACCTGCTGGAGGAGGCCATGTGGCTGCAGTGGAGGCAGGAAGAAACGTAGGGTGAAAGGAGGCTGGGGAGGCCTGGGGAAGCTTCCACCAGTCAACAGACTTTGTGGTGAGGAATGATGGAGTCAGGTATGGGCCTTGTGGTGTATCTTTAAGACTTTCTTTCTGCAGGTAGGTCAGAAGCTCCCAGATAGGTGTGTAGAGCAATATCATCTTTCTTCTTCTGGTGTCAGAGGGCAGAGTGTCTGTATGGTGGCCCCGTGTTTGTACAGCCAGATCCCTGCTGCCTTGAGATCCTGGAGGGCTCGCTGAGCTGGCTGCCCCAGGAAGGTGCCAAGTTCTGGGGGCTGTTGGGAATTTTTTGTGTCTCACAGAAGACTTGCCTTTGGGTAGTGGGCAGAGTTCTCAGACCTCTCTTTAGGAAAGACTGGGGAGCCTTTCCGCTTCCTTTCAACATCTCCTGCTGCTTTCAGGGTCGGTGCTGCAATTCCCTTCTCTTTCTCTCTCAACTTTAGCACCCACTGTGTGCCAGGCTCTGTCTAAGAAATCTGTAAAGGTCATCTCCTACAATTTTAATTTAGTCTTCATAAATACCATATGAGATAAGACTTTTGCCATTTCCACCCTCTCCCTTTTCCTATTATCATTGCATCACTTTAAAGTGTACAATTCAGAGACATTAAGCACATTCACAGTATTGTGCAACCATCATCACTATTCCAGAATTTTCCATCCCTCGAATGGACATCTCATATCCACAAAGCAGGCATTCACCATTTCCCCTCATCCAGCCTCTGGCAACCACCGATTCGCTTTCTGTCTCTGTGATTTGTTTGTTCTGGATGCTTTGTAAAAATGAACTCCTACAATGTGTGGCATTCTGTGTCCTACTTCTTTCACTAAGCATGGTGTTTCAAGGTGGACCTGTGTTGTAGTGTGAATCAGTATTTCATTTATTTTTGTAGCTGAATAATATCTCACTGTATGGATAGATTACATTTTATCTATCCATTTATCTGTTTATGGGCATTTTGACTTGTTTCCAATTTTTGGCTATTGTGAATAGAGCTGCTATGAACGTTTATGTACAAGAACACCTCCTTTCAATTGTTTTGGGTGTATACCTAGGAATGGAATTGCTGGCACATGTGGTAAATCTATTTTAACTTACTGACGAACTGCAAAACTTTTCCAATGGAACTGCTCTGTGTTCCATGTCCACTACCAATGTGTGAGAGTTCCAATTTCCCCAAATCCTCATCAGCACTTATTTTCCTTTTAAAAAATTATAGCCATCCCAGTGGGTCCGAAGTGGTATCTCATTGCAGTTTTGATTTGCATTTTCCAAATGACTAATATCACTGGATATCTTTTCATGTGCTTGTTGTCCATTTGTGCCTTCTTTGGAGAAATGTCTACTTAAGTCCTTTGCTCTTTTCCTAATTGGTCATTTGTCTTTTGTTGTTGTTGTTGAGTTGTGAGTTGTCTATATATTGTAGATACTTTACCTTTATCAGATATATGATTTGAAATTATCTCATTCTCTGTGTTGTCTTTTTGCTTTCTCAATATTGATCTTTTATGCACAAAAATTTTAAATTGTGATAAAGTCCAGTTCATCTATTTCCTTTTGTTGTTTGTGTTTCTGGTGTATTATTTAAGATTCAGTTGCTGAATACAATGTTATGGAGATTTGTCTCTGTGTTTCCTTCTATGAATGTTTTAATAGTTTTAGCTTTTTCATTTAGGTCTTTGATGCATTTTGAGTTAATTTTTGTATATGGTGGGAAGTAAGGGTCCAACTTCATTTTTTAAAATCTGTGCATATCCAGTGATACCAGCATCATTTGTTGAAAAAAACATTCTTCCCACATTGAATGGGCTTGGCACCCTTATCAAAGCTAACTTGACTGTATATTTGAGGGCTCTGAGTTCTCTGTTATGCTCCATTGATATGTATTTATCCTTGATTTTCATATTGAACCATCCTTGCATTCCAGGAATAAATCCCTCTTAGTTGTGATGTATAACCTTATTGCTATACTCTGGATACAGTTTGTTAGCATTTGGTTGAGAATTTTTGCATCAGTGTTTGTAAGAGATATTGGTCTGTAGTTTTCTTTTCTTGTGATGTGTTTGTTTGATTTTGGTATCAGGATAATGCTGGCCACATAGAATGAGTGAGAAAACATTTCTACTTCTGCAATTTTTAGGACAAGTTTGAGAAAGATTGATGTTAATTTATTTTTATTTGGTAGAATTCGCCAGTGAAGCCATCTGGTCCTGGGGACTGAGGCACAGAAAAGTGAAGTGACTTGCCCAGGATCATACTGCTGCTTAGTGACAGACCCAGGGTTTGAACCCAGGCATCCTACTGATGCTTTTAACATTACATTAGGCTGCTCCTTTTCTCTCTTGCTGATGTGGTCATAGTTACCAAATGTTTCTGTTAAGATTCTCTGAAATAAGCAAAAGCAACTGATTCTGGGGAATTAGGAATTGGTAACTGGATGCAGGGCAACTCCTAGACCTCGAGAATCCTAAACAGCCAGGCCATGGGAAGGCAGGGCCCAGTCAGCTCCAAGAAGCTCAGTAGGGAAAACTCCTATAGCTTTTCTCCAGAACTTTGCCATTAAGCAACTCTTCCCCAATACCATACACCTCCATTCAGGTGTCAGTTTCCTGGGGATAAGACCCTGCTGGGACAAGTGTCTGTGTTCTCTTGGGTCAGTGAGGGTAGTATTTTGGTTATCTGTTGCTGTATTACAAGCTACTCCAAAAGTTAGTACTTAAAATAGTATATTTTCTTATTATATTTTATGATTCTGTGGGGCAGGAGTCAGGTGGGCATAGTGGGAGTGGCTTCACCATGCTCTGTGGTATCTGGGACATCAGCTGGGTTGGCTTGAATGGTTGGGGGTGGCCAGGGGTCTCTTCCTCTTCATGTGGCCTTGCACATGATTGATGTAGACTCCCTCATAGCAAAGGCTATGGGGGCAGAATAGTGGCCCGAGCGATTGCCAGTGCCCAAATCCCCAGTAGCTGTGAATACGTCCCTTCCGTGGCAGAGGGCCTCTGCAGGCGTGATGGGGTGCTAAGATGGGGGATGATGCAGGTTGTCTCAATCTAACCACCCAAGTCCTTAAAAACAGAGAACTCTTTTTGGCTGAAGCTGTGGCAGAGAGGAAGGTCAGAGAGAGTCAAAGTGGGGCAAGGACTTGACCTGAGTTTGCTGGCTTTGAGGATAAGGAGGTGTTGCACTGGAGGGGTGTAGTGGCTCTAAAAGCTGAGGACGACCCCTGACTGACCGTCAGCAAGGTGGGGGCCTCAGTCCTGCAGTCGCATGGAACTGAGTTCTGCCAACACCCTGAACAGCCTGGAAGCAGATTCTCCCCTGAGCTTCAGGTGAGATCCCCAACCCCTGAGCCCTTGATACTGGCTGTGAAACTCTAAGCAGAGAACCCTGCTGAGCTCACTCAGGCTACAAACCATGAGCTCAAAAAAAAAAAAGGTGTTCTGAGACACTAAATTTCTGGTAATTGGCCATGGGAGCAATTAAAAACAAATATAGGACTCTTCTGATGGTCCAGTGGTTGGGAATCTGTCTGCCACTGCTGGGGACATGGGTTCAATCCCTGGTCCCAGAAGATTCCACATGCCACAGGACAACTAACCTTATGTGCCACAACCACTGAGCCCACGAGCTGCAGTTCGAGAATCCCTCATGTTCAAGAGCCATGCTCTGCAACAAGAGAAGCCACCGCAATGAGAAGCCCATACACGGCAACTCGAGAGTAGCCTCTGCTCACTGCAACTAGAGAAAGCCCATACACAGCAACGAGGACCCAGTATAGTCGAAAATAACTAAATATTAAAACAAACAAAGAAATACAGATGCTGAGATCTGGTAAAAAAAAAAAAAAAACTAGGGTGAAAGCAAATTCCCACAGACAAAGTGTCCGTGGTCCTGCCTGTGCTGACGCACTTGCCACAGCCCTGCTGCCTGTCCTCAGGGCCTCAGGGAGTGGAGGCTCCCCAAGCACCTCCTGGGGACTGGGCCTGCCAGGGCCTAGAGGTTCCAGTCCTGGAGGACCGCTCAGGCAGGGAGGCCTCGCACAGGTGGGCACCAGGAGTAAGGCCTGCATCACGGAGGCTGGGGTCCCAGCACCCAGGATGGGCAGGGGCTGCTCTCTCCTCCAGGGGATCCTGCGCATCCTGCCTCACATGCAGTTGAGGGGGTCCTTTTCCCTCTGCTGGCCCATCTCCCTTCCTGCCCGATGTGAAGATTCCCTGGACAGTCCCAGCCCAGGGAGACAAGCCTGGAGAGTCTCAGACAGGCTCTGTCCACCTGTCTCAGGTGGCCGGCAGGGCTGTGCCATCTCCAGGGTTCTTGCTTGGGAGGAAGAGAGGCTATGAGCATGCGTTTCGAAAGTGTGTCTCAGACTGCAAAGCTGAGGGAGACTAGTGCCTCAGGTAGGGCCCTAGGAGCTGGTCCTGGAGTGACAGTTCAAGTACAGGCAGTTCACTGGGGAGGGGGTCCTGGGAGGCACTGTGGTCTGTGGGGTATGAGGCTGGGGAGCTGCCCCCGTGGGTGCCCAGGTCTCAGACCACATGGGAATCCCCAAGGCGATGGGGCCCCATGCATCAGCATGACCCCCGAGGGGTCGGAGACCCAGTTGAGGACTGCTGGGTGGGGTGGTTCCCTGGCACCTCTGCCCATGGCTCCGAATCAGGCCTCTGTGGCCACATCACAGGTTGAGGGCCATGTGTGGTCGTCAGCAGGGCAGCTGGATGTTTGTTTCAGGCACTTCCTTAGGGGCCAGTTGTACAGTAGCTCATCTTAGCCCTGATCCTTTCAGTTTATTCTGGGTTGGGGTGTGGTGGGTGGAGGGCGGGTGGTGGAGGGTCCCCCCAGAGCAGGTGGGAGTGGGAATCTGGAAGAGTTGAGCTTCTGGTGGTTCCTCTCCATTATACCCACTCCTCCTAGGTTCTGAGCATGATGTTCCCAAAGCAGACAGAGCTTCACGTTTCTGTGTGGACTCTTCTGCTCAAGGATGGACTTCCTCCATCATACCCTTAGGCCTAGGGTGTGTGGTGGTCTGGGCTGTGAGAGTCAGAGTGAGGAGGAAACTGACCAGAAATTCCTGCATTTGACTCCGATAGCCCAGTGCAAGGTGGTTATTACCTTCAACCAAGGACTCCGGGGAGGGCGCGTGGTGCAGCTGAAGAAGATTGTTGATGAAGCCATAAAGGTCTGCCCATCCGTCCAGCACGTCCTGGTGGCTCACAGGACAGACAACAAGGTCCACATGGGGGATCTGGACATTTCCCTTGAGCAGGTGAGTCTATCTTTTTTTGTATAGTTTGAGCAGAAGAGGTTGTTATTGGATTAACTGGGTCTTATCAGAGTGTGGTTCCCAATCTGGGTCCCTCAGAGGTGCCCTTTCCTCTGTGTTATCTGATGGGCTTCTATCCCGGTGGGGAAGAGGAACTCAAAAGTCCACAAACAGAGGGAAACACTTCACATAATGAAATGACTGGATCCATCCTTTTATTTGGCATTAACTAGGGCAGGCTAGATAAGGTGAACTCTGGGCCTGGTCTCCCAAGTCCTGCGGCCGTTGGGGAGAGGAGGTCTCTGGGAGGCTGGGTGGGGGGCGAAGTTTCTATCCTCAATGGGCCATCTGGTCCTCTCCCTCACAGGAGATGGCCAAGGAGGAGCCGGTGTGTGCCCCGGAGAGCATGGGCAGTGAGGACACACTCTTCCTGCTGTATACCTCGGGGAGCACTGGGAAGCCCAAGGGGCTTGTCCACACCCAGGCGGGCTACCTGCTGTATGCTGCCCTGACGCACCGGGTAAGGCACCACCCTGGGGAGATCTGGGGGAGGGGCTAGGGGAGGCTGGACTGGGGGGGCCACAACTGCTGCTGTGTTCAAGAGCAGGGCCAGGAGTCCTGGCACCAGTGTGGTTGCAGGGGTGGGCTTGCAGGGCAGAATGTCTGTGCCTGTCAGAAGGGCCTGGGTCCTGCACACGTGTCTCCTGCTTGTCCTCAGCCCATCACATGTGTGCTGAGCCTTTGTGGGGTCTGCCCTGCTGCTGGCACGGTTGCTTTCCGGCGTCGGGTGCCCCAGACACTCCAGTGGGCCCTTCTCCCATATGACTGCATTGGTGTAAGAATGAGTACATTGCTGTTATTTGTTAAAATGCTTTTTTCTATTTTAAGAGATCTTTTGGGTCTGATTTTAAAAGAAAGTAAAACATTTTCATGGGCCTCTAAGTGCTGTGGCCTCTAGGCTCTGCTTACTGGGGCCTCAATTTAAAAGGAAAAATATTTTAAAAGATTTGTTTTTATGAGGAGACTTAAATTTAGTGCATGGAGATTACATCCAGGGGGCCATCCTTTAAGGATTATGAAGCAAATGATCTGGAACAGCTTTATTCCAGTAAATGCATTTAAAAATCAGCACTCATTTAAATATGAGTGGGTGGGTGGGGGGTTCTGGTTACTGTGCATCCCTGGTTGCCTTGGGGAGGAGCTGACGCCTCCCAAGGGGTCAGGGATGGGGTCTCAGGATACTGTCTGTGGACCTGACTTTTTCCGGCCAGAGGCAGAACTCAGCCCCTACCAGCATGAGCAGCAGTGGAGCAGACTGGCCAGGTGACCCGGAAGCCCAGGTCCATCCAAGCAAAGCTTGGACGCTGAGAGCACCCACAGTCTGGCTGAGGGCCAGGGCCCTGTGCTCTCAGTCACTGGCGGGGTTGGGGGCGGGCTATGCTGATCAGCCACGTCAGTCACTTGGAGGCCGACCTTATGGATGAGTGTGGACTAGGAGCCAGTGATGGGAGGCAGAGATGCGGCCTGTGAGTGTTGGCTACTCGTGGGCAGCACTGAGGATGTAGAAGTGAGGCAGAAAGACAGATATGGCTAGAACCAGGCCAGGAAGACAAGGTATTACGCTTGACACTATCCATGTTAAAGCCCCTGTCTTCTGGCTGCTGGGTGACTGTGATCATCATAGAGCCATTCTTGTCTGAAAGTCCCTTGCTCAGTTCTGGGTAGGCATGTTGCAAAGACTGAAACGTTGGGTAAGTCAGAACACTGGAAAATGTAACTACTGAGACTGAACACTAAGGAAGTCGAAGAATGGGTCAAAGTGTTTCCCTATTTCCCTAATGCTAACAAAATTAGCATTAGGGCTTCCCTGGTGGCTCAGTTGGAAAAGAATCTGAATGCAGGAGACCTGGGTTTAATTCTTGGGAAGATCCCCCTGGAGAGGGGAATGGTAACCCACTTCACTATTCTTACCTGGAGCATTTCACGGACAGAGGAGTGTGGTGGGCAAGTCTATGGAGTCACAAAGAGTCGGACACAACTGAGCATGAACATGACTAACACACACACAGCATTAGGGAAGCCGTCAATGTGGTGAAATAGTCTTCATTTGTTTTCCAGCGTTAGCAGGGCACTGTCTGCATGAACAGAAGCAATGGGGATGCAAGGGTGGGACCATCTTTTGAATTTCTCTTCAATACAGTGAGGGCATTTTAAAACATTAGGAATAGAAACTTTCAGCCTTTTGTACGTAAGCGTGTGTTTGTGAGTGTGCACATCTGTGTGTGTCTGTGCATGTGCTGAAGGTGTTAGGACTCTTGGTTTCTTCAGGGAGAGGGCAATTGGGTCTGCAGGGGTGTTTGGGACGTAAGCAGGCTTCAGGGATGTGAGTGGTTATGCTGGGGTGCCTGGCTGGTCCCGGGCACCTGCTTTCCTTCCAAGAACAGCAAGGAGAGAGAACACCAGTCTCTTGAAAGAGATGGCACAGTGGGTACGCATTGTATTAAAACCCTCTCAGTCCCAGGATGCTGTGGGCTTTGGGCTGTGGATGTCCTGCTTCACTGGTGGAGCAGGAGTGCTGTTTCCTTGAGACTCAGCCTCTGCTCACAGCTCATCAGGGTCCCGGCCAACTTGGGGCCACAGTGCTGTCTGGGAGCTGCTGGGGAACCTCAGGGTGTGTCTGTGGCAGCAGCAGATGGGACTGCTCGTCCAAAGGTTAAAAAACACCTTTACCACAAAAGAGAACACAGACACAAGGACTTCTCTGGTGGTCCAACGGTTCACACTCCACACTCCCAATGCAAGGGGTCCAGATTCAATCCCTGGTCAGGGAACGAGATCCCGTATGCTGCAGCTAAAGATCCTGCAGTGAAGGCTGAAGATCCTGCATGCCACAACTAACACTCGGCCCAGCTAAAACAAAAACACGGATACAGAAAACCATCGAAATGAAATGTGTGATTTCACAAATGATTGCTCAACAAACCCACTTCAGTCAAAAACTGGAATATCTCCACCTGACACAGAAGCCCCTTCATGGCCCATCTGATCACAGTCCCCCCTTGCCCCTCGACATGTATCCTGGGTTTTATAGTGTTCCTGCCCTGTTTTCCTAGTTTTGTCACCCTAACGTGCATCCCTAGATACTGTAGCTTACTGTTGTCCACTGATTGTTGTTCAGTTACTCAGCTGTGTCCAACTTTGTGACCCCATGGACTCCTTCACTATCTCCCGCACACTGATAGTTGTGGGTAAGCCATGTTTAACTGGTGGATTTTCCTCCATCTCTTGATCACCTTAAACATTGTCAGTCATAGCACCCGGCCCTGTGTCCCTCTATCTCTTTGTCTCCTACAAATGGGCAGTTGGACCTGCAGACTGAGTCAGGCTCAGGTTTGACCCTTTTGCAAGAATAAGGAGATGGCCATGTCTCAGGCTCTTAGAAGCTGATGATGCTTGATGTGTTTCTTGGTCGATTTGGCTTTTGTTTTTCTGCTCTTTTTAAAAGATTAAAAAAAATTATGGCGTAACTTAATGTAGAAGAAAATGGCAACCCACTCCAGTAATCTTGCTTGGGAAATTCCAAGGACAAAGGAGCCTGGTGGACTACAGTCCATGGGGTCGCAAGAGTCAGATATGACTTAGCGACTAAACCACTAAAGGCAGAGGCGCCCTTATTTTAGACAAAGGACTGGATGGAGTTCACCTGTGGGTACACGTGTGGCTACCACCTGTTAGGACACAGGCCCTGACTTCTGGCCCCTACAACCCCACCTCAGGACCAGTGCTGGGTGACTCCTGGCATATGGGCGGGCTTTGTGCTGGACTCCCGGAGTGTCCCCTCTGGGGTCTGGCTCCCGCTGCTGTCCCCAGTGACCTGTCTCCTCACTGCCGTGGCTGCTCTGCCCTTACTGCTGCTCTCGGGGGCCGTGGGAGCAGCTGGGCTTGGTGACAGAGCATACCCAGCGACGTGCGGGAACTGGTGCCAGGCTCCTGATAGCCCCTCCCCTGTCTCTGCAGCTTGTGTTTGACTACCGGCCAGGTGATGTCTTCGGCTGCGTGGCTGATATCGGCTGGATCACAGGACACAGCTATGTGGTGTACGGGCCCCTCTGCAACGGAGCGACCAGCGTCCTTTTTGAGAGCACCCCGGTTTACCCTGATGCGGGTGCGGGCTGCAGAAGGGGCCGGAAGAAGGAGCAGGGGTTGGGGGGTGTGGGGCGAGTGGTGGAGGGTCCCAGTGACAAAGCTGCCGGGCCCGGGCCAGGTGTGCAGAGGGGTCATATGAGCAGTGGAGAGGGTCTGACCTCTGAAGGCTTCAAGAGACCACCCACTCTAACGTCCCTCTCACCTCTGCGGCCACCTGACCGGATCCTGCCCTTCCTCGAAGCCAAGGCCAGTGGCCAGCCTCCTGGGTCCCCTGCTGCCCGTCCTTAGGGACACTCGGGCAGTGTGACCTGGAGCCGCTGCCATGGAGTGACATCTTTTGAGGACCCCCGTCTTGCTCTCCTGGCATCTCCCTCCCTCGGGCCATCGCATCCTCCAGCGTCTGTTCAAATGTGACCGGATGTTGGAAGTTGTGCCGAGGCTTTCGCCCAGGTGGTCCATGGCGATGATGGCTCCATGCCCAGAACTTTGGTCCCTTGCCTGGGTCCTCTCCAGCCTCCTGCAGAGGCCAGCTATGCTCCTGGAAGACGTGCAGGGGGCCTGGCTAGGGATGGAAGGAGCGTCTCAGGTGGCCTCAGTGAGTTGAGGGTGATAGGGCCTGTGTGTCCTGTGTGTGTAACTGCTGCTCCAGGGAGCACTGGTCACCTCTGGAGGCCGTTTATGTCCTCCTGGACGTGGGTTCTGCATTGGTGCTACCTCACCATAACACCCCTTTGACCGCTTCCTTGCTGTGTCACATGGGTCAGGATGTGGGCTGTCAGTGCCTAGGGCCAGGCGATGGCTCCAATCCTCCATGTGGGGTGTGTGGAGGTGGTGCACAGGGAGCCCCTCCCATTCCAGCAGTGGTGCAGAGTGGATTTTGTGGACACTGTAGGTGTTTGAATACATCCAGCACATGGTAACGTGGGTCACCTCTGAGTGAAGCTCACGGAGGTAACATGACCTGGGGCCTCTCATAGGTCGGTACTGGGAGACGGTGCAGAGGCTGAAGATCAATCAGTTCTATGGTGCTCCGACGGCCTACCGGCTGCTGCTGAAGTTCGAGGACTCCTGGGTGAAGAAGTACGACCGCTCCTCTCTGCGGACCCTGGGCTCAGGTGAGCGGCTGCAGGCGCGTGTGTGGCAGAGCCCCGCAGGCCTCTCGACACTTCATCACAATGGCCGTGTCTGCGCTGAGTCCACTTGACATGGCCACAGCCAGTAGAAAGCAGATGTCCTCCTTGGAAGCCCTTTCCCGGAGCCCACAGCTGTGGAGGGACTGGAGCTCAGCACTGCGACCTTGTCTGTGCTCCGTCTTCAGTATGAAAACTCAGCAGTGTGGGAAGGTCAGGCCCGGGCTGGTTTCCTGCAGCTGCCCAGGATTTTACCCGCTCTATTCCCAGCACTGGCATCTGTGCCATTCTGCCCTTGGGTGCGTGTCTCCAGGCAGGGACGGTGTTTTGAGATCAGAGGTTACCTTCACTTGTATGATAATTTGGATCCATGTCTCCAGGTCACATGAGGGCATTTTGGAAAGGTGACCTAGGTGACCTTGAGTTGAGGTGGTCCTGGGAGGGGGAAGGTTTTAGGCCTGTTCTCCCTTAGGGGATTGAGTTGCTAAGGAAGCAGGACCAGGTAATGAGGGAGATGCTGCTTGAGGGTCTGTGTGTCCCCCAGGCCTGGCAGACTCCTGTGGGCCTCACTCCCTAAAGCCGGTGACCAGAGCCACTCTCTCGGACCAGGAGTGTGCCGAAACCCCCTGCTCCAGGGAGCCTTCACAGGCTAGCCGGGCCTCTGTATCAGGGGGCAGCTCAGCTGCATAACCAGTACCAACAGCAGGGCCCTGTGGGGTGTTCTGAGACCAGGGTATTGTCGAGGAAAATCATCAGTAACCAGTGTATAATAAAAATTGTTGTTTAGTTGCTCAGTCATGTCTGACTCTTGGCGAGTGACTAATAAGAATAGAAGAGAGTTTATTCAAGCTAAGCTGAGGAGGATAGCTCTGAGGAGCTGTTCCAGAGAAGTATGGTTTTTAGCAATTCTGTGTCTTATCAGAAAAAAGTACATCAAACAAGTCAGGGATACATGCCTTCAAGGTTCCAAAGAAGCCCATCAGCACGTACACAGAGTCAGTACAGCCGTGGCCCTGGGAGAAGAGTCTTATCATCAAAGGAGTCCCAGCATCGGCATCCCAGGCAGGGGGCATTTATCTCTATCTCCTAAACTTCTGGTCGGTGTGCCCTTTTCCCTTTTCTTTAATGACTAAGGCAGATTATAGGGTCTGTTTGACAGGCTGTTGTCGTCAGCCTAAGTCCAAGTTAAATGGCATGTGAGCCAGAATGACTTCCCTGCACCTCGACATGTGGCCATGCCGGCAGAGGGGTGACCAGCATGGCGGCTCCTGCGCTGGGACAGCTCCGTGCTTTGGCTGGTTGGTCCATCAGGAAAGCACCATGATTCACTTTGCCATTCTCTGTTCCACGGACCCTTTTTAGCTCCAGGCTGCAGGAACACCCTTGTCTGTGTCTCCTTCTGGGGCTGGGCGCTGGGAGTGGTCTTCTCATCACAGAACGAGTGTGTGTGGCTTTACTGGGTTTTGCCAGCAGCACACGCCTAAAGCAGTTGCAGCAGGAGTGTCATTTCTAAACAGGAAGAGAGGGACTTCCTTAGCAGTCCTGTAGTTACGACTCTGAGCCTCCACTTCAGGGGCATGGATTCGATCCCCAGTTGGGATGACCATAAACAAACAGGAACAGAAATGCCTGCATCGCTCCCGAGCTGTACTCAGGTGGTGTATGTGCTGGTGTTTCCTCCACACCCTTGCCAGCCTCTTATTGACCCTCTGATGGTGAAAATATCTCACTGTCATTTTTATTCTTCAATGGCCATAAATAGGATGATCTCACTGCTTTCTCCTCCTGTGTGCCTTTCAGGACAACTAACAGAGCTGTTTCCTCATGAAATTCGCTCCTTTGGTTCCAGCCCTGTTGAGTCTCTTAACACTTCTGTCTCGTGTGGTTGCAGTGGGAGAGCCGATCAATCACGAGGCCTGGGAGTGGCTGCACACGGTGGTGGGGGACGGCCGGTGCACGCTGGTAGACACCTGGTGGCAGACAGGTGAGCCTGTCCGAGGTGGGAGGCTCAGCCCCACGGGTGCCTGGCATTTGGGGAGAGGAGCTCGGGGCTGCTGCTCTGCAGCTCTGACACCGGGATGTGAAGGCTTCCCAAGGCCTCCTTTCCTCGTCTGTAAGGTGGGGCTTGGGTGGGCGCGGAGGGGGAGACACAGGAGCCCACAAGGGTCCTGTCCATGGTGGCCCACCTCCTGAACCTGGCACAGCCCAGCCTGGGGTCTGCCGTTTAAAGGACCTTGAGTCTAGGATTAGATGTTAGTGGGAAAAGAAGTTTTATTTCCATTGTTTTGCTTTGAATTGCCCCTCTCCTCTGGGGTGTCTGCCTTATCAGGATTTGGGGGCCAAGAGACCCCCACTGAAGTGGCTGAAGTCTCATCCTTGAAGAAGCCAGAAAGAGATGTTCCCAGTGGTGTAGGCCTCGTGGTTCAGAAAGGCCCTGGTTGTTCCCTGCAGCAGAGCCCTGGTGGGCCTTCCCCTGCAGGCTGATGGATCCAGAGAAATGCCCAGGGACAGAACCTGGGGCTGCTCTTCTCCCGGTCTGGGGTCCTTGCCCTGAGCACTTCCTTCCCTCCGTCCTCCTTTCTGCTGTCCCCATGTTCCCATGACACAGGTAGGGCCCTCAACTTCTGGGGCTGCCCCTGGTGTGCCCTGGTTTCCACTGTGGAAGGACCAGCACTCCAGCCTGGTTTCTCCTCAGACAGAGGTCCTTTTGTCACCAGGGCCATTTCCTTGCCCCAATGGCAGGTGCTCCCCCGCTCTCTGGAGTGCACCCTTGTGTGCCAACCCAGTGCCCATGTGGTCTGGATGCACGTGTCAGTAGCCCCAGGCCCACCAGCGTTTCTTCTTACCCCCTGCAGAAACGGGGGGCATCTGCATCTCTCCGCGGCCCTCGGAGGAGGGGGCAGAGATCCTGCCCTGCATGGCCATGAGGCCCCTGTTCGGCATTGTTCCCGTTCTCATGGATGAGAAGGTGAATCACCCCGTCCAGGCGCCCTGCCCAGCCCCACTGCTTGTCCTGCCTCCCTGGCTTCTGCTGCCCTCTCCCCCTCACGAGGCTCCCACCGCAGGGTCTCCTCTTAAAGGGGAAAGCCCCTCTGGGGTGCCTGTCCTGTTACTACCTTGGGCCCGGCATTTTGGAGAACAGGAGATGGTCACTCCTTCTGTCTCCCTGTCTCCTGGGTCTGCAGGGAAACATCCTGGAGGGCGGAGACGTGTCTGGGGCTCTGTGCCTGTCCCAGGCCTGGCCGGGCATGGCCCGGACCATCTATGGAGACCACCAGCGATTCCTGGACGCCTACTTCGAGGCCTACCCTGGTGAGCCTTTCCCTGCTGCTGCTGCTGGACAGTCTCAGAACTGTTTCCGAGGGGCTGGGGGTTATGTGAACTGTCCCTGTTTTCCTTCCCTCTGAGCCGGAAGTGGCCCCGCTTGGGGTCCTCTTGGGGGCTCAGGCTGTGGGCTCCCAGGAGAAGCACAAGGATGCCACCCTGGCAATGACGATGGTGGCCCCAGGCCTTCCCTGTCCCTCTGTTATTGTCCTCCTGACTTGTGTAATGTGGTTGGGCAGAAGTTCGCAAACATGTGTGCCCGTGGGAACTGATGCCCAGCAGTGGCAAGCCGGTCAGAGACACTCCTGGGGAAGCTGGAATGGGCTCCTTGCAGCTCCTGCTTCCAGGTTCAGCCTCCAGCCGTCTGGGAGCCGCTCTGCCCTTGACTGGCACCAGCCAGGCAGCACCTGGGGGGTGTCTCCGGGCGGCGGTCTGTTGCAGGGGGGGGGGGTTCAGCACTTCCTCCCGTTCAGGGGGTCCCTCGTGGAATAACGGGAGCCCTACCGGTCCTGGTTGGGAGCTGGGGCCGACTCCCGCGCTGTGGTGCAGGCTACTACTTCACGGGAGACGGGGCTTACCGAACAGAGAAGGGCTACTACGAGATCACTGGGCGCATGGACGACGTTATCAACATCAGCGGCCACCGGCTGGGGACCGCAGAGATCGAGGACGCCATGGTGAGCACGGCCGCCGCTGGTCTGGGGGCTGAGTCAGAGTCAGTGCCTCACTTCTGCGTGTTCTGTCCTGCCCAGGCTGACCACCCCGCTGTGCCCGAGACCGCTGTCATTGGCTATCCGCACGACATCAAGGGAGAAGGTGCGTCACCCACCCTCTGGCCCTGGGGGCGGGGCCTCTAGGAGGCTCGGACTCGTGGGCGGGGCCAGGGCTTTCCCTGGGGTCGGGCTGCTGGCTCACCCCTCCCTCAAGCAGGGGTTTGGGGAAGGGGGCGGAACAGCACCAATGGTAGAAAAAAGTCTGGATTCTGCAGCGCCGCAGCTCCGCAGTCTTTGGGGGACACTCACTCGCGGCGAGCAGTCCTGACCTGTCGGCCAGCCGAGGGGGGAGCTTCCTCCCGGTCCACAGGCCCCCCTGGCCACCCTGCTAGGGATATGTGTACACGTGCCCCTCGCTGCCCGCACGTTGAACGCCTCGAGGGCCCGGACTCTCTCTCGGGGGGGTCTAACCTGGGTTCCCCTGCACAGAGATGGGCCAGGGAAGTGCAGAGCTGGTGACTGGACTGATCCTCACTGACATACTTTGTTTCAAAGCCTGCCGGTTTCTAAGAGGTGGGTCTGAGAAGGAGCAGGCTCATCTGAGCACTGTGATGCCAGGCAGGCAGTGGCCACACTGGCCTGGCCTGACCGACTGTCCGTGTTGCTCTTCAGGACAGACAGAGCTCTCTGCCTGGAGCAGCCCAGGCACACTTCCTCCTGGGGTTCCAGTGTCTCCAGCCTCCCGGCCATGTCTGCGTGCTGTTCTTCTATTAGTTACTCAGTGTCTCTAAGCCAGCCTTTAGGAAAACTCAACACTTACTAAGTGCTTTAAAAAAGGGTTTTCAGTTACCATGGAAGGACACACCCATGACACTGTCGCCCTTGTCAACTGGCTAAGACTCAAGGTGGGGGGTGTCGGGTTGAGGGGATGAGACAGGACAAGTCCTTGCGTGTGTGTCTCAGGGCCCTTGGGCCATGCCACGTTCTACCAGCCTCCCCTGCCTCCTGCCAGGCTTTGGGAGAGAATTTGTGTATCGGCTATGGTTATGTGCATTTTCCTGATTTCTAACACATTTGAGCATTTGTCCACTTGTAAAACATGAACAACAAAAACCGTGGGTGTGTATTTTTCCCCACTCTCTCTGCACTTGACCTGACGGAGGGAAGCCCCCCAGGTCTCGTGTGATTAGGATGCAGACCTAGCGAACGACCTAAGTCCCTGCCCTGTGGGCTCGCGTGCTGGAGGGGACTGGGGAGAGGGGAGAGGCAACTGGATTGGCTCAGTGGGGTTTGTGGGCACCTTGATCAGGGGTGGGCTTGGGGCAGGCACAGGCAGGCCAGCGAGCAATATGGAGGCTGCATGTGAAGGGAGCTGTGGTGGGAGGGGGCAGTGCAGGTCAGACTGTCCAAAGTGATGCTGGGGCAGTGACCGCTCACATGGACAGAAAAGGAGTTGGGTCTGTATGTGAGATCGTAGTTAAGGAGACCCCCGGGAGCCCCTCTGATCCTCGCTGGAGTACTGAAAACAAAACCTGGTGTTTATGCTAAACTATTGGTTGACCAGCACAGCCCAGTAGAGCTTCCTGCTGACCAAGCCATTCATCTGTGCTGTCTGCACAGTGGCTCCCAGCTGCATTTTACACTGAAGTTGCATTTAAACAGCTATGGGTCTGGTGCCCACAGGCTGGACACAGGTCCACAGACTAGTACCCAGGGAGTGATTCCTCGCCCGGCACACATGGTGGAAAGTGAGTCTCTGACAGCCTATGTCACGGCTGTGTCACAGGCGTAAGGACAGAGGTGAGTCATGGCTCCAGGGTCTGTCTCTCCACACATGTCCGCCACCCTGGGGCACTCAGAGGAGCCACTGGAATCACTTCCACCTTGAATGAAAATGGAAATGCACCTTCAGGGGGGCAGCTACAAGGACCAGTTGCCATGGGTGCACCAGCCTCTGATCTAAAACCCCTTTGGACTTAATGGCGATTGTGTGAAACACGCTGCTCCGGGAGGTAGTTCGTGGTCTGAACCTCTCTGCTCTTCTTCCAGCCGCCTTCGCCTTCGTTGTGTTGAAAGATGACGTGGGTGATGTGGACGTGGTGGTGAAGGAGCTCCGGTCGGTGGTGGCCGACAAGATCGCCAAGTACGCAGTGCCTGATCAGGTCCTGGTGAGTGGATGCTCCTCAGGGGCCACCGAGCTGCTGCTACTCAGCCTCCTTTCTGCTTCCCACCATTGACAGGGTGGCAGCAGGAGGTGGGCGAGGGGGTGGCTGCTGCATCCTTGGAGTGGGGGAGGAGACATAGTATCAGTGTGGACAGCGCCTGGGCACTTAGGCCTGGCTGGGCTGCAGAGAGTCAGGGATTGTAAACAGGGAGGCCTGGGTCTGGACCAGAGGTCCCTGGGCTGGTGGGGAGATGCTGACCGAGTCTGCCTGGGAGCCTTTCCTGGGGTGGGTTTTGGGGAAGGACTGGGCCACCTTCTCAGCCCCTCTGACTTTTCAATCCTTCATTCAACACCAGCCCACAACCTTCTTTTGCTGGGAGTTAGGCCTCTGAGGCAGGAGGGCCCAGCCTCACTTGGTGCCGTATGATTCACACTGTTGGCCTGGTGACCAGAGCTTCACCTGAACTCCCCATCGGTGAACAAGTTTCTTTCTAAGGACCGGCCACTGTTATAGGCCCTAAATGCAGCCCTTCATGTATTGCCTTGACATTGAATGCCTGTGGTTGGATAATGCCAAACACTAAGTTTGAAACACTGAGCAAGACGACATTTTCCTCTCAAGCAGCTCCTACTTCTCATGTTAAAAAAGCCAACTATGGTCCCAGCCAGGGGAGGAGACAAGATGCCCCTTGAACACCTGGTTCTGCTATCACCTGAGAGCCCTCCTAGCTTAACTGGCAGGAGAAATGGGTGTTGGCAGTGAGCTCCACCAGGTACGGGTACAGCCTCCACAGTGGAGGTTCAGCTGACCCCCTGGCAATGGATGATTTCAGCTTTCGGTCCAGATGGAGGAGAACAAGGGCTTCTCAGGTGGAGCTAGTGATAAAGAACCCACGTGCCAATGCAGGAGATGTAAAAGATGCAGGTTCGATTCCCAAGTCAGGAAGATTCCCTGGAGAAGGGCACAGCAACCCCCTCCAATATTCTTGCCTGGAGAATCCCATGGACAGAGGAGCATGGTGGGCTACAGTTCATGGGGTCGCAAAGAGTCGAACACGACTGAAGTGACTTAGGATGCACGCTTGGAGAACAAAACCAGAGGCCACAGCCCCGCCGCTCTCTGGGCGGTGCTGCACCTCAGCCATTCCTATTGGGTCCTTGGGGAGGGGTGTCTTCCTCCAGGACACCCTCATCTCAGTATAGCTGGGCACCGGCTGGGTGTCTGAGCACCACCCAAACGCTAATGCTGCGCCTTCCCTGCCAGGTAGTGAAGCGTCTTCCAAAAACTCGGTCTGGAAAAGTCATGCGGAGGCTCCTGAGGAAGATCGTCATGGGCCGAGCTCAGGACCTGGGGGACACCACCACCCTGGAGGACCCCGGCGTCATCATGGAGATCCTGAGCGCCTACCAGGAATACAAAGACAAGCTGGGGGGTGCCAAGTGATGGCTCTGCTGAGACCCCGAGCCAGGCCCCTGTGTGTTCCTAGAACACAGCCCCTGGGTTGGCTCGTTCCTAAATGCCCCAGCAGAACCCAGGCTGCCCTCCTCGTGAAGCCTGAAGTCCCTGCCTCCCCTCCCAGGGACCCATGACAGGTCCTTGCCCAGGGCGAGCTTTCTCCCACTTGTCCCGAATCTGGTTTCCTGGTGAAAAGTCCATTCCCCTGCCCTCCTGACATCACAGGAAGGTGGAGCCCCTGTGTCTGCTCAGGTGGACTGGGAGCAAACAGCAGTCATATTTCCTCCAGATGTTTCTAGAAACAAAAGGTGAAGATTTTATTTTTATACTTTTATATTTTAGAAGAAACATGGTGCCCACACATGTGCTGTGTGTGCTTTACTTGTACACACTCTTCTTAACAGTTACGAAAAGCTCCTTTTTTGCCTCCGCTCGTGGGGAAGTGTGGCGGGCTGGAGGGTGCACTTTGGGTTATTGTTTGGCCTGTTGGAAATGTTAAGTTGGAAATGTTTGTGCCTCTGTCTTAACACAGCTATCTTGAAACCTCTCAAGCCCACAGCATCTATTTTTGGTGTGTTTCCACTTCTCTTGGGTTGTGTGTGATGAAACCTAGCTGCTAGAAGCACCTGTGGGGATGGGCTCTGGTCGCATGTGTTTGTGCAGGCTGTGGTCTGAGATGATTCCCCTCCCCTGGCCTGGGATCCTCTTAGCCGCTGGTTGGTGTGCTTCACTCTTGGGGCTCTTCAGGGAAGCTGGGGACTCACTAATGCAGTTGAAACTGGGTCCCCGCAAACCGCCCTACCTCCCTGCTCTGAGCCAGTCTTTCTCTTTGTCAATGTGCCTTGAGTCCTCTGGACTTAACAAAATGATGTGGACTGGTAGACTGCAAAGGGTCTATTTATAGCCAAGTACACGAGGGTCCACTGTGGATCAAGGGGAGGATGGCCTGCTGAGCTGGGTCCCAGAGAACAGGGAAGGCTGCCCCCACCTGGCCCTGAGCCCCACAGTGGGTGGTGCCCTGCAGGTGTTAGCAGGGCATCAGGTTGCTTAACACCTGCTGTGGCCGTGCTGGGTGGCCAGGCGAGGATGGGTGGCCTTGGCTGTAGTGCACGGTGCTAACAGAACCACATACCTGCACTTGTAGCATTTTGATGGGCTTAGTTCATTATGGTCAGGGCACTACTTAGGAAATGACTTCGCTATAAAACTGGGACAGTGACCAGGGCCTCAAAATGATCTGCAGGGCCATTCAAATAAAGCTTTACTTTGTTCATTCTCTTCTTTTTGTGGTGACATTTTATGATTAAAAAAAAAATTGCTATTCTTGGTTGCTGAATATAATCCTTGGAACAAAACTGGAAGAGACCCATTCACTCAAAAGAGAAAACTTTAAAAATTCACTGTCTTCCTGGAGGAAGTACAACTCCAGGAAGCTCACCTATCTTAGGCTGTTATTTGGTTAATGTGTCTCTAGACCACTGGTGCTGGCCAATCACTAGTTACACATGTCTAGTTAGATATGTTAAAAAAACAAAACTAAACTAAAAATGTAGCTCCTTGGTGGCGCCAGCCAGTAATGCTCAGGTGCCACATGGCTGGGGGCTACCAGGCTGGATAACACAGACCCCTTGTCAGCTGTGGGGGCTGGTCTAGAGCACAGAGCTCAAGGGGGCAGAAGTCCACCCAGGCAGCGCCACCCGCCCCAGCAGCCCCCCATCCCCCTGCCGCCAAGAGATGGATAGGAGTTGTTTCCTTCGGTGGATGAGAGGCAGGCTTCAGAGAAAGGCACGTCGAATGGGCACCCTGAGAGGTGGGGATGAGAAATGCTTCTCAGAGCTGGAGCCCGGTGGCCCAGGGACAGTGTCCCTCCTGAGCCCCGGGCGCGGGGAGGAGGCTGGGAGGATGCTGAATTTACGAAGGTGGCTCACCAGGGAAAGACATGGATCTACCTCTGGCTGCCTGGGAAGTCCCAGCCACAGCAGTCTGGCCCCAGGCAGGGCAGTGGGAGAGGGTTACAGGCCGACTTTTAACAAGTCCAGTTGCCCAGCGTCCCCTTCCGGTGAAGCCACCCTGATCTTGGTCTCCTGGGGGCTTGTGACCGTCATTCCCAGGGAAACCATGTACAAGCCTCTGTGTCCTTGTCTTTTGAAGTAAAAGGCTGATTCAAGAGTTAACAATTGGGAAATGTGAATATGTAGAAGCAAAGAATAGCTCTTGGGCCAGGGAGCTGTGATGGCAGAACTACCAAATTCTCAGTTCCCTGAAAGATATGGATAAATGTCTGACACACATTCCTAAGTTGTTTTTACAGGCAGTAGATCCCCTCTGCATGAAAACTGCAGATCCCAAGAACACAGACCCTAGACTGGTTGAAACCAGAAGGCTGATGATACTTGAAACTCCACCTTGATGTCAACCAACCTAACTCTCCATGAGCTGATCCTGCCCTGCCCTCTGAACACTATAAATGCCTCCCTACTCCCTCTGGGGGAGGGCGGTCACCTGGTCTTGAAGGCATTAGTCCACTCTGCCCTGCTTTGCCTGGCAAAGCAATAAAGGTACTCTTTTCTACTTCACCCAAAACACAGTCTCCGTGTTTCTACATGGCGCTGGGAAATAAGCCAAGTTTCGGCAACGCTGGCGTCACAGTCCTTGGCTGTATGATGCGTCTGGCCTCTAAGAGGACTCAGAGAGAGCTCCAGCGGGGCCTGCCTGGGACGGAGTGGGGCACACTGTCCTGCCCAGCTCAGCCCCAGGCTTCGCTCCTTGCGTTACCTCTTCTGTCTAGACTAACAAAGACCCGACTTGGAGCCACCGACAGCAGAGAGCAGAGCAGAGATGGATGACTGATGGCGTGGAGGAAGAGCAGGGACGGGCGGGACAGAGACCACTGTGCTGTGACGGCACGGCACTGACCTAATGGCAGATCCCGAGGTGACGCAGGCACACCAGGACACACGTGCTGGTCCCGGGTCACCCACGGTGGCTGCACTTGCGTAGCAGGAGTGGTCGTGTCGATTCTCACCCCACTGCCTCTGCCTGACTCGAGTGCAATTAACTCAAGTCCTCCCAGACTGACTCGCTCTCACCTCCAGTCCTCAAGATACCCAATGTCGTTACAGAAATGCTTCCATGGGGCTTGCCTGGTGGTCCAGTGGTTGAGAGACTCTGCCTGCCATTGCAGGGGACACGGGTTTGATCCCTGGCCCAGGAAGATTCCATATGCTGTGGAGCAACTAAGCCCACATGCCACCACCACACACATCCAGTGAAGCGCCTAGAGCCCGTGCCCTGCAAGAGGCCAGTGCACTGCAACCAAGAGTAGCCCCATCTTGCTGCAACTAGAGAAAGCCAGAGAGTAGCAGTGAAGACCCAGCATGGCCAAAAATAAATGAGTTAAAAACAACAAAACCACTTCTGCTGCTGAGGGAGGCCCTGCCAGGTGCTCGACTCAGCCCACTTCACCCTCACAGCACCTCCTGAATAGACACTTGTCCCCACTTGGCAGAGGAGGTGGGAAGGTGGTGGAGTTGGGTTTGGATGGAGCCTGTCTGACTCCACCCTTGACCTCCATGCTCAGACCCCTCCTGAGAGAGCTTAGGGGAGCATCAGTATTTAACTTTTATAATTTTGAAGGCATCTTGTTGGCCTTTGAAATGCTATCTGGGATGGGGAGAGCTGAGGCAGGTGCAGGCCCACTGGAAGCCTTCCTGGAGGCGGTGACTTTGGTGGGAGGAGGCAGGGTGCTGACCTCTAACCCAAGTTAGAGGTTTTCCCTTCATCATTGTTTGGGAATTCTGCTGCATAACAGGGTGAAACCAAGCAAACAAATCCTTTCTGGTCTGTGAACACCAGTTGTCTTTGGTTTCACAGTATTTCATTTCACAAATAAAACCTATTTATCCTGCTTGGTCTCCACAGAACTTCTTGAATCTGCGGGTTGATGTCCACCTGAATCAGTTTTGGAAATACCTCATTTATTGTATCTTTTAAATAGTTTTTGTTATTCTCTCTTCTTTTCTGAGGACACAGACATTTTTGTTATTTGCTCTTCTTTTCTGAGGACACAGACGTATCACGTTGCAATTTCTCACATTCTCATCTCTCTTCCTGCCTTGGTCTCACCTGCCCTGAAGGAGCTGCGATAAAGACTTGTATGTGACTTACTTAGGAATGTGATTCCAGGAACAAGTGTGAGGGATAAGGGTGTGAAACAGGAAAGCAAGCAAATGAGTGCCATGGCAACCACTGCTGACCTCCCAGGACTCAGGAGTACTATAGCTGGGTCTCTGAACTGGCTGGCCTCTCAATCTCCTCCTCTAGACCTGTGAATGCACTTGCGGAAAAAGTGGCACCCAGCCCTGGGCTCATCTTCCCAGGCCTCTGTCATTCCTGGATCCTGATCACCATGCTGGGCTAGGTGGTTTCATCGTTGTCCCCACTGTGGGTGTGAGTTTATTACCTAATCTGCCATTACAGGAATAGAAAGTCATGCAAAATGTTCCTTACATGTGAAAGGTTCTGAATTCCAACATCCGTTTCACTCAAACATTTCCTGTGTTACTGAGGTTGTTTACATACTACTTTGTATTGTTTATTCCCTCCCAGTACAATATTAAGTATGTGTGCATGCGTGCATGCTAAGTCGCTTCAGTCGTGTCCCACTCTTTGTGACCCTATAGACTGTAGCCCTCCAGGCTTCTCTGTCCATGGGATACTGGAGTGGGTTGCCATGCCCTACTCCAGGGGAAGTTCCCAACCTGGGCACTGCACCAGCATTTCTGTCTCCTGCATTGGTATATTTCAAAGATTCCCAGATGATCTAATGTGCAGCTAAAGTTAAGAACTCATCTTAAGGAGTGGTGGCATTGCAATCAGCAACCCGCAGGGCATTTGTCACTGCTGCCTGGCAAACATGTTTATTTTCACCCTTATGTTATGCCTTTGGGTCCAGCTGCTGGCACTGAAGGCCTCAAGAGACTGACTGTGGCGTCTAAACGCTGGGAAGGTCCTCCTGGCCCAAATGACTTAAGAGCAAGCAACTGGGAAGGCAGCACCGCTGGAAGTGGGCCTCAGCCCCAGGCTCAAGGTGCAGCCATGAGTAGGTGGGCTGCTGCTCAACAACCTACAATGTGCAGGACAGCTCCTTTCTCTCTTCTCTCCAAAGAATTATCTGGCTCAAACTGTCAACAGTGCAGAGGTTGAGGAACCTGATCTAACCAACCAGGTGGCCCCGTCCCCCCTTGCCAGGAACGGGATGGCAGCTCTCCTGGAAGGTATGGGGGGTGGGGGATTCTGAGAAGGAACCACAACTAGCACTAACTTAAAAGGTTAGTGCTAGTTTAGCTTCTTACGACACCTGGACAGAAAAACAGGACTAAACTGTGGCGTTCAACATGTGGCTCTGCTTGTGCAGAGCACGTGCTCCAAGACAAAACCACTGACCCCTCCAGAGACTCTTCTGGTTACAAACTCTGACCCATCCTTGCCAAGACCATCTATGGCTAACTCCAGCCCAGACCCCTTGGAGAACCTTCTATTACACTGCTGTCTGGAGGAGACTCATGTGTCCTCTGGTGCATTTCTTTGCTGAAGCAAGTTCAAAAAACCTAAGTTTTTATTATTTTCTTGTACAGCCATGTTCCCGTTTCCGGTTGGAGTGGAATACAAAAAATTCCAGTGAGAGTGCCTTAGACACAAAGGTGTCCTGCTTGTGAAATCAGGGGAAAGATTTGCAGCAAATGACATCGGTCCTGAGAGATAAGTGGTTTTGGCCAAGTGAATGTGAAGGAAAGCTGTATCAGAGAAACAAGGAGTAACAGGGAGGAAGGCAGGGAGGGACAGAATTAGAAACAGCAAGCAATCCTGAGGGTGTGAAACACAGGATTCAGGGCGGGAGGGATGCTCCAGAAAGGCAGGAAGGTGCCCATCCTGTAGCGCTATTAAAACCCATCCCTGGGACAGCGGCCGTCCTGGTTGCGTCAGCAGAGAAAGATGTTGCCCTACAGACCTCGATTCACTAAGAAAGCTTCATCCCTTGAGGCTGGGTCTTCCAGGTTTTTCTCGGGGGTAGTGGAGTGCGGAGTCTGATCCCACCCCCTCCGCCCCGAGCACCCAGAAAGGCCCGGGGAGCACACTGGCCTGAGGAATGCCTTATGAAGCAGCAAGGAAAGCGATTCTCAGGGCTTCATTCTGAGCGGTCTTTTCTGAAGACGTTGCATAGTAAAAGAACCCGGTTTCCTCTGCTGGAAAAGCCCCCTCCCAGTGTCTTTCCCATCCCGTCCACCTTTCGCTCCTTCATTTGCCAAACGCCCCCACGAGCCCGCTGGTTCCTTTCGGCTCAACTGCTCCTCAATACCTCGAAGTATCTGACTACCGGCTAGAGGCGGCTCCTCCGGGAGGACCTCGTGCGGGACCGTGGGCGGGCGCGGGCCTCGGCCTGCCCACCGCGCCCGGCGACAGACCCGGCCACACGCTTACAAACCGCCCACCGTCGCTGTGGCCGTCACAAAAGCAGACACGACCAGCCGCCCTTTTCCAGTGCGTGTTTCCCTCAACCCCGCCGGTTCGGAAACGGCCCGGGATTCCCGGTTGGGGGCGCGTCCCGCCCGCCACCCGTGGGCCCCGCCTCGCGGTCAGATCGGATGTGAGGGGCTGGGGCCGCAAGGGGCGAGGACGCGGCAGTCCGGACCCCGGAAGCCGCTACCCCTCGCGGATGGCGCGCAGGTTCGGACTCGCGCGAAAAAGCTTCGCAGCTACTACCTTCCGGGTGGCCGGAAGGGGCGGGCCATTCGTCACTTCCGCGCGCGCCCGAGCAGGGAGGTGGAGCCTCGGTCGTCACTTCCGCGCGCGAGGCTGGAGGTGGTCAGCGCGGGGAGCTGACCGGCGCTTTAGAACCATGACCGAGGCTGACGGGCTAAGGCAGCGCCGGCCCCTGCGGCCGCAGGTGGTCACGGACGACAACCGGACGCCGGAGGCCAAGGGCGGCAGGTAGGCCGGGCCTGGAGCCGGGCTGTGCCCCCAAGGCGGCGACAGCAGCTGGCGCCTCAATTTAGTCCTCGGCAGCCTCCCTTCGCGGGTGGAAGCGGTCTGTCTTCGCGAGGTGCACCTGCGGCCCTTCGGCCCCGCCGCTGCGTCATTGCTTGTCCCCAGAGCCCCCCGGCCTCGGCTGTGCCTCACTTTGCCTCAGGGACGTGCACTGAGCCGCCTCCTCACCTGCCCGTCTCGGAAAGAGGGGGAAGCAGAAGAGATATCGTTGGGCAATTTCTGTGAGGGTCCGGCCTTGCACGTTTTCCCGGTAGGGACGGACATGCATAGGGCACCGGCGATGTTGGTCCCTGATGAAGGGAATATCAGATCTCCCAACTTCTCTTCTTCTAACCTTCCCGAGTGTAAATATACTTTGCTTTGTTAGCTAGAAACTGAAGTATAAGCCTTTAAAGTTCTTAAAATTCTCCTCTTAACTTGGTGCCCCGAGTGGCATAATTTTGGGTTTTTAAGAACCAAGAGGCCCCATATAGATCCAAGTTCAAAGTTTGGAATTGATTGACTAATATGTTGATGGTAATACTGGAATATTTTTTGCCGTGCCATTGGGTGTGGTACATACTGAATGCAGCACAGGTTTTGCTCAGAGACACTGAATTTATTCCCTGATGATAATGAAAGGAAGGAGTGTTTGGTTTCTAAAAATCTACAATTCTCAGAGAAGATTTATCACTAGCAAGAGTCCTGGGACCAGTGGAAAGGCCGGGAATACACTCCTTTTTGTGGGGTGACTGGCCATTCTGGTTTCCTCTGGACTCTAGGGTGTGGGACTTTCAGTGCTGACCCGGGGTAGACCATGACAGGTCGGTCACCCTTTTAACTGTGGATGTTGTGAGATCATCTGGTGATGACTTAGGAGCCTTCAGAGCAGACAGGCTGGGACTAGCAGTGCTGTGCAACCGTGCCCACTGGCGTTGCCACACACTTGTGCCCAGGAGACCAGGGGGCATCTGGCTTGGGTCTGCTATGAGGCACAGGGCATAGAGCACCCAAGGGCACTAGTTGGATGGGCCCAACTCTTAGCTGGGCCCTGTAGGCCCTAGGGCAGGGGGCAGAGTTAAGTTAATTGTTTTTCAGTTTCTCTGGGATTTCCTTAATGGCAAGGTTACTTTGTGTTTCAAAGTCCTCACCTGTTGCTAGTCTTCCCCTGGGTGCCTTTTGCTCTCTGTTGATTTAAGACATTTTCTTGGCTTTCCTGTGTTTCCCCTTCTCTTCTTTGATCCTCTTCTGGGTCTTTGTAACAGTCTGTTTCCTGTCACCCACCTTCCTTCCTATGTGTATATTGTAATTCTTTAGCTTTTTCTTATTTTTATCATGCAGGTTTCTAGTTTTCATTTCTTTTGTAGTGGTTTCTAGTAGTTCATCTGATTGTCATCTTGATTACCTTAAAATTTGAGGGTTCACTCTAAGACAAGAAAGTATTGTGTATAATGAATGAAGGAAAGGAATCTGAAGGAAATAGAAATGTGATGACTATATAGTAAACTTTAGATGTGCTAAACAGAATAAAGAAGGGACAATTTACAAAAGCAGGAAATTCGCTTCAGTTTACAGAAGCAGGGCAATAGATTTTAGTGGATGGGACACTGAATGATACCTTGCCCAGTCTCCTGGCTTCTGGCATGAGTGGTGGCATTAGCTCTGCTTTGCTGGTGAGATCATTGAAGTCTTTGTGAGTGACATGGTTTTTGTAAAGTTACAGAGGAATAGAGTCTCAAGAGACATTAAAACAAATGAAAGAATTGGCTTCTGGACAATGAGAAGTGTATTTTTAAAATTAGGTTTTGGAGATGTTTTATTTCAAAGTTGTTGAGTGTCTGTATCTGAACAGTAATCTTTTTTTTTTTGGTGTGGCATGCAGGATTTAGTTCCCTGACCAGGGGTTGAACCCGTGCCCCCTGTGGAATTGCAGAGTGTTAACCACCACTGGACCGCCAGGGAAGTCCCCAGTGCAGGTTTCTAATGATTGTCATTTGGCATCAGTTTCCCCACATGTTTAAGAAGTTTATTGACAGAGTGATTGTAACCCAGAAAGGATTCCTTCCCTTTTGGAACATAGTTCTGTCTGAGAGGAGAGAACAACTGTTTAATGTCCATGTATACTTGTTTAGGAGTGAAGAGTTGAAAAGTTACCAGCTTTTTTTTCAATAAGCTTCCAAAGAGTTTCACACTAATTAAAGATCTCTTATAGGTCCATTTTCGTTTTTAATACTGAAGCATAAGGGAGACAGTGGGGAGAGACAGGTTGGGCTGTTGTAATTCTTGAGGTTGTGGGGAGCCAGGATTCCAGAGTTTCTCAGCCCTTCCCCTGGGTGTGTGTTTTCAGATTGCTCTTTTACCATGTTTTCAATTTGGTGTCAGCGCTAAAACAATGCTTGCAGTCTTGGAGCCCTGGCTTAAAGGACTGTGGAAAGTGAACCAATGCAGGGCGTGGTCACTTGAAAGGACTGGGCCACTGTGTGTGAGTCTCGGGTTCCAGGGATCACCTCAGCACCCGGGGCTCCGGTGTCTCCTGGATTTGGGCCTGAAATCACAGGTCTGTGTTGATCTCATGGAGCGTGTGGGCCAGGACTTCAGTCTGTGCCTCGAGGCCTTGATGTCTTGTGTGCAGAAGCCATTAGAGGACGCCTGTCGCCACATTTTGCCCCATTAAGTCCCATTTAACAGGATTCTGTAAGTTGTGACTGAGCCGTTGGTAGTTGTCAGATCCTGTGCATCCCAGGCGTGGATCTGAGGGTGCAGGTGTAGGGGTTGGGGCAAACAAGCTGACCTCCCGGGTGGCACCTGGGAGGGAGGGCCTGGCCTTCCGGGGTGTGTCAGCACAGACTGAAGAGAGCAGGATGGGCCTGTGCGGCATTGTATTGGTGAAGATGGTTTGGATAAACGGAGGTCTTTCAGATGAGTGGACGTAGTGCAGTTGTGCACAGCTTCCCATGTGGCTCAAGTGTTGAAGAATCTGCCAGCTAGTGCAGGCGACGCAGGCGGGTGATGCAGGTTCGAGCCTTGTGTTGGGAAGATTCCTCGGAGGAGGAAATGGCAACCCACTCCGGTATTCTTGCCTGGAGAATCCTGTGGATAGAGGGGCCTGGCGGGCTATAGTCCCTGAGGTTGCATAGAGTCAGACATGACTTTGCAATGGAGCACAGTGCAGTGTGTGGTCGGGCAGTTACAGAGCAGTTGCAGAACTGTGGTTGACTCTGAGTTCACAGGAGCCAGCAGTGAGATGGGCCTGCCAAAAAAGTTAATGAACCTTGGGCTACAATAATCATGCTCCCAGAGCCTGGGTCAGGAGCTCTGTGACCTCACCTCCAGGACCTGTGCACCCGCCAGTTACAGACTCAGTGCCCAGGGTCACATGGCTCTCACCTGTGCCCGGAGCTCGTTGAGTCCTGTGTTTCCTCAGCTGCGTGGCTCTGCCCGGTTGCTTCTCCTGAAATGTCTGTGCAGAGTCCATGGGCTTCAAACCCTCCCCACCCTCTGCCGACCCGAGGCACTGCTGCCCTCTGTGCTGGTCGCTACCTGTCTGGCCTCGCCCACCCCAGGCTGCACGGAGGGTGGGCACTTGACTGCTCTCCTCTCAGGGCCGGGCCGCCTGCCTGCCATGTGCGCAGGTGGTCACGGAGTGTTCGTGGGCTCCCAGGGGGTGCTGTCTGATGTGGCAGCCACTTGGCCACATGTAACTACTTAAGTCTAAATTAATTAAAGTGAGCCAAAATTAAAAATTCACTTTCATGTTTGTGTTATGTAGTGGGTTTGGGGATTGCTGGGGCTGATGAAGGAAAGTGATATGGCTGTGAGGTGACAACAGCCACCTGAGCTTTTTTGGTGGCACTGACAGGTTTGCATGTGGCGGAGTCTCATAGGGGAGGGGACAAGAGGGGCTTCTGGGTCAAGGTGAGGGTCAGAGAGCTCTAAGGGCAGGAGTTGGGGTAGGAGTGGAGTTCAGTTCAGTTCAGTCAGTCAGTCGTGTCCGACTTTTTGCTACCCCATGGACTGTAGCACGCCAGGTTTCCCTGTCCATCACTGACTCCCAGAGCTTGTTCAGACTCATGTGTATCGAGCTGGTGATCATCCTCTGTTGTCCCCTTCTCCTTCTGCCTTCAGTCTTTCCCAGCATCAGGGTCTTTTCCAAGGAGTCAATTCTTCCCATCAGGTGGCCAAAGTATTGGAGCTTCAGTTACAGCATCAGTCCTTCCAATGAATATTCATTGGAAGTGGTGAGGCTCTGTTTTATTGAAGGGTAGCCACTGTCTGGATGAAGCGCAAACTGGAATCAAGATTCCCAGGAGAAATATCAATAACGTCAGATATGCAGATGGCATCACCCTTACGGCAGAAGGCAAAGAAGCACTAAAGAGCCTCTTGATGAAACTGAAAGAGGAGAGTGAAGAAGTTGGCTTAAAACTCAACATTCAGAAAACTAAGATCATGGCATCTGGTCCCATCACTTCATGGCAAATAGATGGGGAAACAGTGGAAACAGTGACAGACTTTATTTTCTTGAGCTCCAAAATCACCACAGATGGTAACTGCAGCCATGAAATTAAAAGACGCTTGCTTCTTGGAAGAAAAGTTATGACCAATCTAGACAACATATTAAAAAGCAGAGACATTACTTTGTCAACAAAGGTCCGTTTAGTCAAGGCTATGATTTTTCCAGTAGTCATGTATGGATGTGAGAGTTGGACCATAAAGAAAGCTGAGTGTCGAAGAATTGATGCTTTTGAACTGTGGAGTTGGAGAAGACTCTTGAGAGTCCCTTGGACTGCGAGGAGATCCAACCAGTCCATCCTAAAGGAGATCAGCCCTGAATATTCATTGGAAGGACTGATGCTGAGGCTGAAACTGCACTACTTTGGCCACCTGATGTGAAGAACTGACTCATTTGATAAGACCCTGATGCTGGGAAAGATTAAAGGCAGGAGGAGAAGGGGATGACAGAGGATGAGATGGCTGGATGGCATCACCGACTCACTGGACATGACTTTTAGTAAATCCCGGGAGTTGGTTATGGACAGGGAGGCCTGGCATGCTGCAGTCCGTGGGGTCGCAGAGTCAGACACGACTGAGTGACTGAACTGAACCGAGCCCCTCTCTGGGGACGTTTCACTGAACACATAAAGCAGGCGGGCTCTGAATGGCTAAAAATTTCTGTGTTTGGGCCATTTGTCAAGTTACTGGATATGTAAAGTTGGAGTTTGATGGCCCTGCAGAGCTAGAGTCTCAGCCTGCAGTGAGGAAGTAAACAGTGTGGGGCTGAGCTGCCGGTTCTAAAACTAGACCCTGTATGGAGCTTTCCAGTAGGAACTGGCTGGTGCTCAGCTAGTGTGCTGATGGACTTCTTTCTCTGGAGAGGGGTTGGATCAGGTTGGCGGTGTCCAGCCACACATCAGGAACAACTGGGGCTTGAACCTGCTAGGCAGGTTGCACCGTGTGGACACGAGGCTTTGCCAGAGTTCTGGCCGCCTTTCTAGCTGCAAGCAGTCACTTTCTATCCAGGCTGGACTTCTTGTTTTCCCTGTTTTAGGAAGGGGCAACCAGGTCTTCAAACACGCTGCGACAAGCTCCGAATCACATTCCTAAATTAAGATTTTAAAATATACACTACCACATAGAAAAGGAGAGTTGGCATAGAGTCCAAGTTAGACAGGAAGGCTCTGTTTTATGTGGAAATGTGTTTGGCAAGGAAAAGGGAAAGGGAGACTTTGGCCAGTGTCACCACTTTCGTTGGTGAGTTTGCACAAGACAGCTTCTCCCAGGGGCTGCAACTCTATTCGGGGTGGGCGCGGCTGATTGCATCAGCCCCCTTGGCAAGACACCGGTCCTTCCTCGTGGGCTCTGAGGGACGGTTTGTGCAGTGCCATGTGGCCTGCTCTTTGGGACTCTACTTTCGAAGGAACCACAGGACCACGTCATTCCTGCCCGAAGCCCTTGCAGACACCCTCTGCCCGTGCAGTCACAAGCTGTGGTCGTCACACTGACAGACCGGGCACCGAAGGAAGTCCTGAGTGGCGCGTGTCCCAGCCTCTGGATGGGCGGTCGCTGACTTTTACTTTGTGGACATCTTTGTGGAGCTGTAACGCATATTATCAGTCATTGGTTTAGAATGTCCAATTCAGGGATTTTTAGGTTATTTAAGAGATTTGCTAAAGTGACAGATCACCACAGTCTAAGTGAAGAACATTCTCGTCACCGTTAACGTCTTTTTGAGGTGGGGTACATACTGTAAAAGGAACCTCCTTAGAGTGCACACAGTTCAGTGATGTTTACTGTTGGGCAACCACCACTCTTTTCAGGTTTCAAAACTTGTCCTCATCCCACGAAACTCCTTGTTGCCATTAAGTAACCCTTTCCCGTCTCCCCTCCCAACAAGTGTCAGTTAGTATTTGAGCGGAAAACTTTTGTGTTGTTGAGCAGTGGAAGGCATGACAGGAAGTTCTGCCATGGGCTTCTTCTGGGATGAAGCGGGACACACGGTGCTGAGCACAGGCTTGCCGGGGCCACACTGGGTGTTTGCCTTCACCCCAAAATCCCCCAGGAGAGCAGACACGGTTAGCTTGTGCAGCGTGTTTGAAACCTGGCCCTGGGTCCAGGCATCTCCTCCTGTCCTCGGCAGGCTTTGTTGTTAGTGGTGACCTCAGACTTGGGGTCAGACGTGACCCTCGGTCCTGTCCTTCTGGCAGTGGACTGCCCACCCCTGGCCCCCAAATTTCTGCATTCTTCGTTGAAACCATCTTGTCAAAAATCAAATGAAACATTGCCCTTAGTTTGTCAAGTGTGAGTCCTAACTTTTTTCAAGTCAGCTTTTTTGGATAGAAAAAGATTTTCCACTTTAGGAGCTCAGGATTTTAATTTGCTTTAAGTTACTCTTGACTTCAGGTGTTTAGTGAATCTGAATATCCTGATGCAGGCAAATAGTGATCCTGGCAGTTTCTTTCTTAGCAGGAGGCTTCACGTGCTGCCTGGCCCTCGAGTGAGTGAGGTCGTTTGTGAGGGTTGTTGGAGGGTGTTTCAGCCCCCAGTGGTCATTTGCACACTCTGCTTGAGGTCCCAGGCTGCTGTCAGGTCTCCCCGTGGCTTTTGAAGAGATGGTCTGGAGGTGTGGCTTTGTAAGTTCTCAGTGTCTGGTAATGGTTGGGTTTAGACCTTCAAGATGTTCTGCCTCCGTTTCCTTTGTGAATGTGTCTCTCATTCTTGCTGCTCTGAGCCTCGGTGGCCAGAGGTGGTGACTGAGGGCCGCCGTCTTCCCGGTGGATGAGGGCGGCTCCTTCTCACAGCTTCACTCACACCTCCATCACTTTGGGCCCATTGGTTCTTTGGGTTTGCCGGCTTTTAGCATCTGCTGGAGGATCCAGGATACTGCTCATCAGACTACCTGGGAGGTAACTGTTGAGTGTTCCACACCCCGCAAGATTAAAAAAAGAACAAGGCATGATTGCCATCCTAGCAAACAGTGCTGACCTTTAGTAACTGCCATGGAGGTGGTGGCCTCGAAAGGGGCAGGCCGGGTGGGAGGGCTGCCCCTGCCCGGAGGGCTGAGGGCGCGGCCAGTCGGTCTGAGCCCTGCAGGTGCCTTCGTGTGCTTTGTCTCTGGCAGCTCCTTCAGTGGCAGAGTGTTCCGAGCCACCTTCCTCATGCTGGCAGCCTTCCTCGCCATCCCCCTACTCGGCGCCCTGGTGCTGCTGGACTCGCCTATAGACCCGGAGTCTCTCAGGTGAGTAGCCGCACAGCTTGGGCAGGGTGGGTGGCCCTGCTCGACAAAATCGGGCTGTGAGCTTCTTGGCTAATAAGTTAACCTGCTCTGCAGGGTGGGTTATGCCGAGCAGTAGAGAGCGTGAGCTCTTTAGTGCCTGTGCCCTGTGTTGAATCAGGTGTTACACAACATGTGCCCAGCGTTATGCATGCTACTCTTTCAGAAAACAAAACTGTGCAAACCAAAATGAAAAACTAGAAAAATCCCAAACAAGAGAAGTTTAAGTATTAGAGGTGATTAACCTGAATTCACTTGAAATGTTGAGAGCACAGACACACAAATGAAGATTAAGTTCAAGTTGCCATGTTTAAATTTTTTAAGTAGCTGATTTTTAAAAATTATCGATAAATGCTATTTATTTGGCAGTCAAAACTATGTTTCCTGAAGTAAGGATTTATGAGTAGTTGATTTTTAATAAGCCTTATATAATAATTACTGTTTTATTTTTACTAAATTACCATTCATCAGTGGGGTTATGTAGGTAATGCAGTCCGTTATAACTTGAAAAACTAGTGTGCACCTCAGGTTTCGTGAAGGTATTCACATTTGTAGTTACAGTCTTGCAGAGCCAGGCTTCTCTTGATGTGATTGTTCATGACGTCAAGGGCTCTGCAGTCTGGTTTCCCCTCAGAGCCGCTCAGGGTGGTGAAGCTGCCTGAAGTTTGCTGTGAGTTCATGTAAAGTTGAAAAGTTCAGTTAAGAACTCCATCTCAGTATAGAGGGAAGCTAACAGGTATAACTGAATGATGTGTTGTTTTGTGAGTGAGAGTTGAGGCTCCATAGTGGGCAGTGTGTTGGGCGTCCTCTGAAGGTCTCCCTCCTGCCAACCCCCCTCACTGTGTAGAGGAGGTGGCTAAGCCGGCCTCAAATGCAGACTGCCTGGGCCTTTCTGCTAATCCAGTGCGCCATGTGGAAGTGAGATTTGTGTCCAAAGCTGGGGGTTGAAACCTGGGCTGGAGGGCTGGCCATGGAGAGTGAGGTAGTGGGGAGCAGGTGGACATACGGCTTCTAAGGAGACCCAAGACCTTTGATCTCAGTAGAGGTTGTTAATTTTGCCAAGAGTGGTGAAGAAATTCAGGGGAAAGGTAGTGTGACGTCCTGGCAGCCTGGAGAGGAGCCAGGTAGGGAAGCTTTGAGCCTGTGCAGAACGAGCCCGTCAGTGGAGTAGATGCGCCCGGTGAGGAGAAACCCATAGAAACCGGCGTGGCTGATGGGTCTCTCCTGGGCTCCGAGTTGGGGAATGACTGGCTCCCGCTCTGGGGGTGTGGGCCCCAGAAGCCAGAACGAAGGCAGAAGACTGGCAGACAGTGAGAGCGGGAATAAATTGAGGTTTGGGGGAAAGTACTGCTAACAATAGCAAAAAGGGTTTCTGTGAAACTGATCAGAACGGAAAGAGCAAGGACAGACACACCGCCTGGGACGAGTGGTACAGTCTCCAAGCTGGTGGGCTCAGCTGGCGGGGGTGCCTCGGGGCTCTGCCTTCAGGAGACTCAGGAAATCAGAGGACAGACAGACCTGGAGGGCCCGGGACCGGGGGAGACCCTCCCAGGTGGCTGGTTATGCAGATGGTGGCAGCCTTTTAGTGAGCAGAGTCCCGGGGAGGCTGCCAGGCTTGGCCAGACCTCGCTGTGCCCAGCAGCCTTCATTTCTCCTTGTTAGGAAGATCTGGGGCTGGTGGACACAACACCTGTGACGTCCTGATTCCTGGAGGGTGTTGCCCAGCATCTGTTGGGACACGTGTGTTCCCAGAGGTGGGAGCACAGCGGTGTCATCAGGCGTGGATGATGTGGGCTCAGGACCATCTGCTTGGTGGATATTCCCTCCTCACCACAGGGGAGCGTCCGCCTGTGGAGCCAGAGAGTTGGGGTCAGAGGGGGGCTCCACGGGTTTCCTGAGCATCTGTGAGGAGCCCAGGCTGTCCCTGCCTGAGGGTCGGGGGCATGGGCCACCATCCTGCTCCTTCCCCTGCAGATCTCTCAGGGGCCTTTCCTGAGTTTTATTATTTTGTGTTTCTGTTTGCCCCTCACATCCCTGACCACCCGTAGCACTTTGTTGCTACTTTTTATTTATTATCTTCGAGTTTTACAGTTTCACCCTGTTAATAAAATGCACCCTTCTGACAGTTAACGGTGATAGCTTTCAGCTGCTACAAGAGTTAACTGTCCCTGTTGGTTTTTTTTTTCCCCTGTTGTTTTTAAAATCATAGGCACAAAATCTCTTCTTTACAACGCTACTGTGTCTTTTATGTTAAATTTTACAGAAACTGAAATATGTTTTAAACATGACAGAAACAGTCCTGTCTTTTCGTGAAAACTCATGTTTCTGTTTCTTTCTGGATGGAAACTCAGTCCTTCCCCAGAGTTGGGGGTGGAGGCCGCAGTGACTGCTGCTGAGTTGAGGCTGCCGGCTGTGTCCTTGCTCCATGCTCGTGAGACACACTCACAGCTGGTGGGGACATTTTTATCAGTTTGATTTCAGAAGAAAGATTAAAGAATGATCCTAATCAGATAGATAGAACCATGGGGAGAAACAGGACGAAACTGGAAACTGAGCATAGGCGGTGACTGCGTTGGGAGAGTCAGCAAGAGCGAGCAGGAGGTAACAGTTAATGAGTTAACCTGAGTGCCTGGGCTGCTGTCCCTGGTGCCTCTGTGCCCAATGGAGCGCCCGGGCCTTTCTGCCGAGCTGCTGCATTTTCTCCTGTGTTTTCTCATCTCCCCTTGGGGGCAGGGACAGCGCACCACCCTGACTAGATTGACGCTGCAGCCCTTCGAGGCCTTCCTGTGTGCAGGGAATCTGGCAGCGCCCACGGGATGGGGATGGTGGGGAGGCTGGGACTCCCTGCTCCGTGTGCTTGTCTGTCATCTGTCTGCACACGTCCCTGCCCCTCCGGAGGTGTGACCTTCCCGCACAGAGCTTGAACCCAGGTGTGTTGCAGGTCCCAGTCCTACTCCCCCCCTCTGGAAACAAAGCTCTTTAGTTGAACCATGAGTGTGCTTTTGAAGAGCAGGTAGGAAGCTGTATTTGTGAGACAGGGCCAAGGGTGGAGGGGGAGGTTTAGTTCCAGGGGAGTTGTGCTGAGCCCTGAGTAGGGGCGGCAAGCTTTGTCTGGAGGGGGTGGGGATGGAGAGCTCCCAGACCGCCACCCCCCACCCCCTCCAGTTGGTTCTCCTACTCTCAGGCCCGGGCTGGGTGAGGGGTGGGAAAACTCCCCTCCCCCACCCCCTCCCTGGGAGCCTCCCGGGGGCCACGCGTTCAGGATACAGCAGTGAGAACCCAGCAAGTCCCAGACCTCGTGTGTGCTCGGGGGCACAGGCAGCTGACAGAGGAGCGAGGAGTCAGTCGAGTGGTGTGGGGTCTGGGCTTCTGGGGGCAGCGCTGAGTGTTACATTGCGTGGTCAGAGCAGGCTTCACTGAGGAGGTGATGGGAGGAGGCAGTGGGTTTAAAATGGGAGATGCCCAGGGCCCTTGGGGACCCGCTGGGAGAGCAGAACGAGGGGAGGAGAGGGGAGGCTGTGGCCGGACTGTTGGGTGAGGAGCTTGTGGGAGACCTTGGCTCCAGGGAGAGGGCCCTGTTTGCAGGTATTGAAGGATGGATGCCATTGATCTGTGTTTCACAGAGCACAGGTGGGCTGCTGGGTCGCAAGCAGACTTGAGGGGGACAAGGGAGGAAGCAGGGAGGGAAGATGGTGGCCTGGCCCTGGGTTGCTGACAGCTTGGAGAAACAGCGTGTTTGCCTGTGGCTAGAGGAGACGAGAGAGTTCCCAGGCACTTCTGTGTGAGCCTAGTCGGGGGGTGGGGGAATGGTGGACCCAGGCCCAGCTGTCTTCTGTCCTCTCCATGGATCAGGAGGCAAGGCTGTCCCTGTGAAATGTCTACTCCGCTTTCTCCATCTCGGTTGGGCCTGGATGGCTGGGCAGCTAGTGAGAAAATAAACGCCGAGCTTTGTGAGTTGGAGGGTGAAGCAGGTTGGACAGGTTGGGGAGGCCTGGCGCCCTGGGCCTTGGGTGGCAGGAGAGTGTTCTTACGTCAGCCACATTTACGCCTTCAGTTTTCTTCTGTGCTATGACCTTTCCTGATATCCTGGGAGGTTTTCTCTTTTAACTAGTGCTTCTGGCAACTAAGGATATTATTGAAATGTGTGCCCTTTGTCAAAGAACAGGGAGTTATACCTGTAGGTCCTTGCAAATCTTCAGTAAATACTTTCTTCATATATTTTTATAGACATCCCTATAATTGCATTATTTTACAGCTTCAAAGAACCCCCTCTCTTCCTTGGTGTGCTGCAGCCAAATACGAAGTTACAACAGGTGGAAAGGCTATTTGAAAATCAGCTTGTTGGGCCAGAGTCCATAGCAAATATTGGGGGTAAGTAGACCCCTGGGACTTGTCGCTGTCTGCCGCCTGAGCGGGGTCCTGTGGGGACAGTGCCAAGGGGAGTCCTGGGCAGCCTTCTTGGCTGTGATTGTGCCTGTTTGTCTAGCAGATGCCCCGAGGGAGCCTTTTGCCTCTCTCAGTTTCAAGCCGTTTTAGTGCTGGGTGATTCTGAGTACCTGTCAAGCTTTATTCTGCTCAAACTGTTGGATCCTTTAAAATGAAAGGAGAAAGGAAAAATGTGAACACTGGTATTTAGTTCATTGGTCACAGTTGGATAGATGTTACTTGATGTAGCATAGGTTGTCTTTGTGTAGATTTCATTTTTGACAAGAACAGGAACCATTCTCAGTATTTCCACTTTTTTTAACGATCACCTTGGTGGGGACATTTTAGGGTAACCATGTGCTTCAGACTTGCCCGAACCTCCAGACTAGAAGAGGGTCTGGTTCTAATTCTTGAGTCTGTAGCAACCTGGAACAGGCCTTTCCTTGTCTGTCAGAACGAGAATTAAGCTTAGGAGTCAAAAGATACGGTTAGTGAAAAGGTTGGCAAGGATTGAGGCGTGAGGATTTCCTGCAACTTGTTACCTCAGCTCACTGGCCATCACGTCAGAGCGTGGTGGAACAGTCATGGGTGGCTGCCCATGCTTCTGTTTCCTTCTGAAAGCCCGTCAGGCCCGCGCCTCCACCTTCGAAGCTGTTAACCAGCCTGCCTTTCTGAGCCCTGCTGTTTGGCCAGCCTGAGGTATTTCTGTAGTTAGTTGTTGCTTTTTGTCCGGCAGAGTCAGTTGCTCAAGAGAGATGGGCACTTTGTGATAGAACTTCATATTTCTTTTAAAAAGACATTGATGTTTATTAATTTCACAAATCTTGTATTTTTGGTTAAGAAATCTAATATTGATGTTTAAAATTGGAACTTTAAGGAGTCCCAGTGATCCCCCCCAACCCAAATCTCCCAGAGAATGCTTTTCTTGTCTTTGCCACTGGGCCTGATGCCTTATCTTGCTCTGTCATCACACCTCCTTTCCTCTCTTAAGGGAACTGCTTGTCTTTTGGTGACATTTCTGGTTATTCCCTGCAGGTGTGAACTGCATGAGGGCACCTCGACCCACTGCTGCTGACAGTGGAGGGAGGTGCTTACCTCAGGAGGTGCCAGGAGAGGAGTTACCAATGAACATCATTTAGACTTTATTTTTTAGAGTAATTTTGGAGTCACAGCAACATGGAGGGGAAGATACAGAGATTTACCATATATCCCCTACCCCCTACTTGCCTTATTATTATCTCCCCCAAGATGGTACATTTATTGAGAGTACAGTTGACAACTCCTCATTGTCACATCATCATCACCAGAGTCTAGGGTTTACTCTTGGTGTGTACATTCTACAGGTTTGGACAAATGTTTAATGACATGTATCCATCATTAGATTATCATACAGAGAATTTTTACTACCCCCTGAAATCTGCTGTGTTCAGCCTCTTCATCCCACTCTGCCCCCAAGCCTCTGGCAACCACTGATCTGTTTCTTGTTTCCATAGTTTTGCCTTTCCCAAATATTTTAGAGTTAGAATCATACATCAGGTAGTCTTTTCAGATTGACTTCTTTCACTTACTGTTATGCATTTTAAGGTTCTACTTACTCCAGTATTCTTGGGCTTCCCTCGTGGCTCAGATGGTAAAGAATCTTGTTGTAATGTGGGAGACCTGGGTTGGGAAGATCTCTGGAGAAGGGAAGGCTACTACTCCAGTGTTCTTGCCTGGAGAATCTCCACGGACAGAGGAGCCTGGTAGGCTACAGTCCATGGGGGTTGCAAAGAGTCAGACACGACTGAGCGACTTTCACATTCACAAGTCTTTTTACAGTTTTGTAGCTCATTCCTTTTTATTAATGAATAATATTCCATTGCCTGGATATATCATAGTACATTTTTCCATTCACCTTTTTTAGTTTTATAAGTTGCCAAATTGTCTTCAGAAGTGGCTGTACTGTTTTGCACTCCCCCCAGTCATGAGTGGGAGCTCTTGTAGCTCCATAAATCTTGTAGCTCCGGATAAATCCCTGGTGTTTGGTGCTGTCAGTGTTCCAGATTTTGGCCATTTTGATAGTTGTGAAGTGGTATCTCATTGCTGTTTTAATTTGCAGTTCCCTGATGATATATGATGTGGAATATTTTTTCATGTGTTTGTTTTCCACCATAGTAGATCTTCTGTGGTGAAGTGTCTTAAGTCTTTGGGATATTTTTAAAATTGGATTGTTCATTTTCTTATTGTTGAGTTTAAAGAACTTTTTGTATATTTTGGATACAACTCCTTTATCAGATGCATTGTTTGCAGATATTTTCTTCCAGTCTGGGCTTGTCTTACCATTCTCTAGACAGTGTTTTTCTCAGAGAGGTTTTTAAGTTTTAATGAAGCCCAGCTTATCAGTTCTTTCTTTTATGGATCATATATTTGGTGTTGTATTTAAAATGTCATCACCACACACAAAGTCAACTAAGTTTTTTCCTTTTTTATCTTCTAGGAGTTTTGTAGTTTTATGTTTAGGTCTGAAATCCATTTTGAGTTAATTTTTGTGAAGGATGTAGGGTCTGTGTCTAGGTTCCTCTTTTTGCATGTGGATGTCTAGTTGTTCCAGCAAGATTTGTTGAAGAGACCGTCTATACCTCATTGTGTTGCCTTTGCTCTTTTGTTAGAGATGAGTTTTGGGTCTACTGCTGGGCTCTGTATTCTGTTCCATTGATCTGTTTTTCTGTTCTTTTGCTGTTACCACATTGGCTTCGTTATTGTAGCTTTATGGTGAGTTTTTTTTTTTTTAAGTCTTTATTGAATATTGCTTCTTTTTTTTTTTTTTTTTTTGGCCGAGAGGCATCCCTGAACAGGGACCAAACCCGTATCCCCTGCATTGGAAAGTGAAGTCTTAACCACTGTACCATCAGGGAAGTCCCTACATGGGACTTCCTACAGGGAAGTAGTGTCCATCCTCCAACTTTTTCAGAATTGTGTTGGCTCTTCTGGATCTTCTGCTTCTTCATGTAAGCTTTAGGATAATTTTGTAGATTATCTACAAAATAGCTTCTGGGATCGCTCTGAATCTAGAGCTCAGGTTGAGAAGAACTGACCTCTTGACAATGTTGTATCTTTTAATCCATGATCATGGACTCTCTCTCCCTTTATTAAGTTCTTTGATTTCTGTTATCTGAATTTCATGGCTTTTCTCATCTAGATCTTGTGTATATTTCATTATATTTAGACCTAAATATTTCATTCTTTTTGGAAGGTAGTGAAACACCTTCTGATGCTCTGATTTTTATTTCAGATTTCACTTGTTCATTGTTGGTATATAGGAAACTGATTGACTTTAGTATATTATCTTTGTATCCTGCAACCTTCCTATAATTGCTTATTAGTTTTCAAAACTTATTGTTGTTGATTCTTTGGGATTTTCTGCATAGACAGTCATGTCATCTACAAAGGAAGATAGTTTTATTTATACCTTTTATATCCTTTTTTGGTCTTACTGCATTAACTAGAACATTCAGCCCAGAGTTGTAAAGAAGTGATGAAAGGAGACAGCCTTGCTTTGTTCCTGATTTTAGTGAGAAAGCTTCTAGTTTTCACCATTAAGTATGATGGTAACTGTAGGTTTTTTGGTAGATATTCTTTATCAAGTTGAGGAAGTTCCCCTCTGTTCCTAATTTGCTAAAAGTTTTTATCATGAAATGGGTGTTGGATTTTTGTCAATACTTTTTCTGCATCTGTTGATAAGTTCATGTAATTTTTCTTTAGTATGTTGATATTATGGGTTACTTAACTGATTTTCAGATGCTACACTAGCCTTACATACTTGGGATAAATCCCATTTGGTTGGGGTGTATAATTCCTTTTATACATTTTGGATTTGATTTGCTCATATTTTATTGAGAATTTTCACATCTTTGTACTTGAGAGATATTGGTGTGTAGTTTTCTTGAAATGACTTTTATCTGGTTTTGGTATTAAAGTGATGCTGCCTTCATAGAATGAGTTAAGAAGTATTCTTCTTCTGTTTTCTGGAAGATATTATAGAAAGTTGGTACCATTTCTTCCTTCTTAAATGTTTTGTTCAGTGAACCCATCTCAGCCTGCTGTTGTTTTGGAAGGTTATTAACTATTGATTAATTTCTTCAATAGATATAGGCCTATTCAGATTGTCTTTTGTGTAAATCTTGGCAGATTGTGTCTTTCAAGGAATCGGACTGTTTCATCTACATTATCAGATTTGAGGACTTAAAGTTGTTCCTAGTGTTTCTTTAGTATCCTCTTAATGCCCAATGGGGTCTTTTGCTTCTGATATTGGTAATTTCTGTCTTTGTTAGCCTAGTAAAGGAGTATTTATTTTATTGATTTTTTTCAAAGAACCAACTTTTGTTTTTGTTGATTTTTCTTTATTAATTTCCTATTTCAATTTCATTGATATCTGCTCTAATTTTTATTCTTTCCTCTGCTTACCTTGGGTTTCCTTTGCTCTTCTTTTTCTAGTTTCCAAAGATGGAAGCTTAGATGACTGATTTTAGGTCTTTTTCTTTTCTAATATGTGTCTTTGATGCTGTAATTTTCTTTCTAAGCACTGTTTTCTCTGCCTCCAGGAAATTTTTGGTAAGTTGTGTTTTCATTTTACCTTAGTTCAAAATGTTTTGTAATTCCTCTTGAGATTTCTTCTTTGACCTATGTGTTATTTATAAGTGTGTGGTGTTTAATCTCCAAGTATTTTGGGATTTTCAGCTCTCTTTTTTTTAGTGATTTCTAGTTTAATTTCATGTTGGTGTGAGAGCAGACATTGTATCATTTCTGTTCTTTTAAACTTATTAAGGCATATATTATGGCCCAAAATGTGGTCTACCTTGGTGAATGTTTCATGTGAACTCAAGAAAAAAATATATTTTGCTGTTTGTTGGATGAGGTGTTGAAGGGTGTCAGTTCTATCCAGTTAATCAGTGGTGCTGTTGAGTTCAGCTGTGTTTTGTATGATTTTCTTATTTATTTATTGTTTTTGGCTGCACTGGGTTTTCTTTGCGCGGGCTTCTCTAGTTGTGGCAAGTGGGGGCTACTGTTTGTTGCAGTGCAGGGGCTTCTCATTGTGGTGGCTTCTCTGGTGGAGCACCGGCTATAGGTGAATGGGCTTCAGTTAGGGTTGATTTATTGTTGGCATGCTCTGTCCATTTATTTATTTATTTTTTAAATGTATAGTTGATTTACAGTGTTGTGTTAATTTCCGCTACACATTAAAGTGACTCAGTTATACACATATGTACATTCTTTTCTGTTTTATTTTTCATTATGGTTTACCCCAGGACATTGCAGATAACTTCCTGTTTTCTGACTGTGCTGTGCAGTCGGATCTTGTTGCCCATCAGGGTCTTTCCATTTCTGAGGGAGGGATGCTGAGGTCTCCTCCTCTAATCATGGATTCCTGTGTTTCCTTGCAGTTGTATCAGTTTTGCCTCATGTATTTTGACAGTTATTATCAGGTGCATACATGTTAAGGACTGTTGTGTCTTCTCTACAGTTGACCTTTGTTGTTACCGGATGGTCTTTATCCCTGATCATGTTCCTAGCTCTGCAGCTTTCTCTTAGTGTTAATATGGTATATTTTTCTTTACCCCTTCATTTTTCATCTCTTTGTCTGTATATTTAAAGAGAGTTTCTTAGAGACTGCATTTCATTGCATCTTGTTTTCTAATACAATCTGACAATCTCTATCTTTTAATGAGGTTTTTATACCATTAATGTTTAAAATGATAATTGATTACACTTGACCCTTGAACAGCTCTCAGGTTCACTTAAACATGGATTTTTTTCCATTGAACACATTCTGCAGCACAGTTGCTTAAATCTGTGGGTGTGGAATCTTGCAATGCAGAACCTCACAGATTCAGGACCTTGAGGATGTGAGGGCTGACTATAAAGTTATCCACAGATGTTTGACTGTGTAGAGGGTCGACGCCCCCTAACCCCCAGTTGTTCAAGGGTCAGCTGTTGTTGGGTCACTCTCTCCCATGTTTGTTACTCTTTTCTATTCATTGCTTGTGTTTTTTTCTTCCTTATTTTCTCATCCACTTTGGGAGTTTAGTAGTTTCAGTTGAGCATCTTATATGATTCTCTTTTCTGTCCATTCTTTGCCTATCAGTTATACTTATTTTAAATACTTTTTTTAGTGGCTCCCCTAGAGTTCGCAATATTTACATTTAAAAATATGGAGCATTTCATGAATTTGCACATCATTGCAAGTTCTGCGTGGTTCTGGTTCTAGTATATGTGCTGCTGAAGTGAGCACTTGATTTTACACCCAGGGGCCTTCCCAGCAGTTGTTTCCATTTGGTTGGATAGTCACCTTCAGCAATTAGACACTGCCAGGAGGCAGATGTGAACAGACCCAATCGCTGAGTACCAGCCCGAGGGTTCCCGCTTCTTTGAGGGTAGAAAACTCTGTTTTTATCTGTGGTGTATGCTGTGCCCTTGCTCCAGCCTCAGGGTCACGCCCATGCTGGTTCCAAGGCCTCTATGGCGTTATTGCTGCACGTGTTAAGACTTTGGCCCCAGACACCACTTGCTTTCATTTTCAAAACTGCCGTTTCCTCTCTGGAGACAAAGCACAGACTGACCACCTCTGTTGTAGGTGGTGGTGAGAGCATAGTTCTTAGGCTAACCCAGTAACACCCTTACTCTTTCCTGTCTTTGAACAGATGTGATGTTCACGGGTACAGCAGATGGCCGAGTTGTAAAACTTGAAAATGGTGAAGTAGAGACCATTGCTCGATTTGGCTCAGGCCCATGCAGTAAGTTTTGGTGACTGCCTTTGTGTTTCTTCCAGGCACCCAGGGAAGGTGCTGAGAGGAGCTGTGTTTCCTGGAAGTCAGGTCTTTGGAAGAGGAGAGCCCGGCTGCCCAGCTGAGGCCCCCTGTGGTCATACTTTCCCTGCAGGCCCCTCACACCCCTCACCTCAGCAGGCACCCCAGAGCTGCTGTGGGAGGCGCTAGGCTTTGTTCCTCAGGTGCTGAAGTGCATTCCCGCACTAGCCTAACACGGACCTCAGCCCTTCATCCAGAGTGAATTACCCTTAGGTCCCTCAGGTTTTAGAAATTCACTATTTAAGCACTGGTAGCAGACTTACTATCCTTTTGTTAGGAGCTAGAATGTTTTTGTAAAAATGATGCATTTTTATAGTAAAATGCGAACAGCACAAAGAAAAAAGTAAAAATCACCTAGAGTCTTCTCAGGTGTAACTTGTTAACAATGTAATGAATAACTTTTCAGATCTCTTTCTGTTCATGGACTCACACCCACACATGGTTGTAAGTGATGGGATCATACTCTGCATATGAGTATTTAACCTGCTTTTCCCACTCCGTATTGTGGCCATAAGTGCCTCTGTAGTAAGCATCCTGTGGTAAGCATCCTAATGTAAGCATGCATGTTAAGTGCCTCTGCAGTGAGTGTCCTGCAGTAAGCCCTCTGCAGTAAGCACTCTGTAGTAAGCACCCTGCAATAAGCACTGAGTAGTAAGCTCTCAGTAGTAAGCACCCTGCAATAAGCACTAATAAGTACCCTGCAGTAAGCACCCTGTGGTAAGTGCCCTGCAGTGAGTGCCCAGCACTAAATATGCTCTGCCACAGGTTTAAAAAGAATATAGGTAGTAGAGCAGGAGAATGGATCTAAGGAGTAATATGGTAGCTTTTCCTTTATGATGGGTGGAGGGACCCTGCCATGTCCTTAGACGGGCACAGCATTCAGGTCCAGCTGTGGGGCTTCAACCCCACTCCTGGAGTGCTGGGGGATCCGGGGGTGGGGCCTGTGCCTGCTGGGGGATCTGGGGAGGGGCCTGTGCCTGCTGGGAGATCTGGGGAGGGGCCTGTGGCTGCTGGGGTATCCGGGGGTGGGGCCTATGTCTGCTGGGGAATCTGGGGGTGGGACCTATGCCTGCACTGACTGAGTCTCCAAACGCTGATGTGAGTGTGATTCTTGAGTGCTAGTTGCTGTGCATGTGTCCACATCCTGACTCTCCGGTGGACCCTCTGGATAGACTGGACAATTGACCTAAGCTCTTGGGGCCTGGGACACGGTGGGGGCTTTGTCAGTCTCTGATGCCATGGTCAGTTTTGTTCTCTGCAGCACGATGCAGGTTTAGGACGGGATAGATAAGGTGATTGGACACTGATGGGCCACAGGCAGAATCTGGGGTCAGCCACTGATTCCTGTCTGTTTCCCTAGAAACCCGAGATGATGAGCCTGCTTGTGGGAGACCCCTAGGCATCCGGGCCGGGCCCAACGGGACACTTTTTGTGGTTGATGCGTACAAAGGGCTGTTTGAAGTAAATCCCTGGAAACGTACGTGCCAGTAACTTGCTTTCTTCTGTGATGATTGCTGATCTTTTAAACAATGTGTGCATTTATTTATAAATGGATTTAGTAGAACTTGTTCAGTACAGCCTTCCAGAGGCCCTGGTATTTTTCTTACGTACTGAATGGTACTGAAGGTCTTGCCAGCAGAGAGCACCAGTATTCACATCGTGTGGCTCTTCACTCGAGCCTGCCTCAGGTTCATACCTCCCTCTCCCCTGACCCCTGGGTCCCAGAAGGTCTCATTCCGAGGGTGTGAGGCTCCTCTTCCTATCTTCACTTTTCTGTGTATCCATCTGGGCTCCCTATTTGTTTTCTGCTTCTCAGTCTTCTCTTTTTCCTTCCCCTTCATCTTTTGTCGTTTTACTTTTCCTTCTCCAGCTCCTTCTGCTGTTTCCCTTCCCTGACTGGTCATGGTGTCCTGTGGACTAGTGCTGTGATATTGCTTTGTGTGCTTAACGGGGAGGGTCATGTGGAGGGAGGAGTTGTCATTGTGGGTGGTGCACAGGGCCCCTGGGTGGTCCCCACTCTGCTGGGTGCTGGCATGTGCCAGTTACTCCCAGCCTCTGAGCCCACTTGCTTCACCACAGAGTAGGGCTGACAGGAGGGCCTGCCTTGTGGGATCGTTGTGGCAGTTTAAATGGGGTTAGACGTAAAGAGAACTGAGCATTCCATGAGTGTGCTACAGTCTGAAAAGACTTACTACTACTCCTGCTTTTCACATTTAAAAGCAGGTGAGGGGAGCATTGTGCATTTCTCTCAAATAGAAAATTGCCTCATTAACCCAAGACTCTTGACAGATTTTTAAGTCAGTTGGCCTTGGGGAAGGAGTTCCTCATCCATAGGGAGGATTCTGCCTTTAGTGGGGTTGTTCTAAAAATTTCATCACTGAATAGAAAGGAGGGAAACACTGTGAGAAGTACTGCATCTTCTGACATAGGGAGTGGAGAAGCTCCCTTAGTTTTTCCTTTTAAATAAGTTAGGTTGATTAGTATTTGGAAACTATTGAGGTACATGTTCTTAGAATGAAAGCAAGTCTCCCCCGTTTCTTCTTTCTTTCTTCCCGTCTTTTCCTTTTCTTCCTTCCTGTTCCCGCAGGTGAAGTAAAACTGCTGCTATCCTCCGAGACCCCCATTGAGGGGAGGAAAATGTCCTTCTTGAACGATCTTGCAGTAACTCGGGATGGGAGGAAGATTTACTTTACAGATTCTAGCAGCAAATGGCAAAGACGAGATTATCTGCTCCTGTTAATGGAGGGGACAGATGATGGGCGGTGAGTGTGCTCCTGAATCTTCTGCTGAGGGAGGCTGTAGATGGACAGGATGACGTCAGAGAGTATATCGTGCCCAGGAGTTGGTGGGTGTTTTTGAGCATCTGCTCAGCTTTTAAGGGAGGATCTTACTGTCTCCTGGAAATAGGTGGTGGACACAACAGGGCAGTGAGATGTTCTCACTTCTCTTTGGAGAAATGAAGCTAAGAACAGCCAGGCCATCTTGAGGGTGTGGGGGGTGGTCTGGCACTTGGTGGGGGGAACCTCAACTCCTGTGAGGCTGAGCCATGGTGACCCACCCTGGTGTGAGCTAATGCCCAGGTCAGTGAGAGAACTGACTGTAGCCTTGTCTGGAGGTGGGTGCCTGGGTGGCCCTGTAGGGCCAGCCTGGAACTGGTCTGGGTGGAGGATGGGGGCCCTGCCACTCCAGTGGAGGCCAAGTGCCCCTGCACAGGCCCTGGCCAAGGGCTCCAGCCCAGCAAGGCTCCCAGATGCCCCATGTGACCCTCTGCGTTGGCGCCCGCAGCCTGCTGGAGTATGACACCCAAACCAAGGAGGTGAAGGTTTTGCTGGACCACTTGCGGTTCCCCAACGGGGTGCAACTGTCTCCTGCGGAGGACTTTGTCCTGGTGGCGGAGTTGGCCATGGTGAGGATCAGGAGGTGCGTGAGCTGGCCAGGCTGGGGTGAGAGGCGGGACAGGGCCAGGGTGAGGGGCAGGGCTGGACCGAGGTGAGAGGCCGGCTGCAGAGCCTGGGATGCGGCAGATGCCCGTCGTTTGTGAGGAGAGAGTTGTCTTCCCTTTCTCTTCCTCAGCCTTCTTGACCATCACGGGCTAGGAGAGTCTCGACGGAACGCTGACTGCGGTCCTGGCCTGGCCCGGTTCCTGCCCTGGCCCGGTTCCTGCCCCTGCTTCTCGCTGGACCCAGGGCTCTGAGGCCTTTGCAGCAGGCCCTTGCATCACATGCCCTCGTTGGTGATGGATGCATTGGTGTTTGGCTCCAATTTTTTGTTTGGGGGGCTGCTGTTCATTGCCTGCTTGGTTGACTTTTTCAGGTTTTACGTGTCTGGCCTGATGAAGGGAGGGGCTGATGTGTTTGTGGAGAATTTGCCTGGCTTCCCAGACAACATCCGAGCCAGCAGCTCTGGAGGGTACTGGGTCAGCATGGCGGCCATCCGGGCCAATCCCGGCTTCTCCATGTTGGATTTCTTATCCGAGAGGCCTTATCTTAAAAAAGTGATTTTCAAGGTAAACACGAAAACTATGATTTCAAGAAACAAAATGAAACTGCATCTCATTGTGGGTTTTTTTGACCCTTGTGAAAGCTCTAAAAATTTTAGTTCTGCTTATGATACCTGATATTTTCAGTGACTTCTTTAAACTTATCCTTTCGCTTAAAATGTAAATTTACATCTTTGAGCCCTCTGACTCTTTCCCTCCTGGTTTCCTCGTCTGGAATTGTCACCCTCACCATCATGACCTGTTGGGCCTCTGTCCTGCCTGTCCTTCTTGCTCTCCCCCGGACCCGCACCCTTTGGCTCTTCCTCAAGTGGTTTAGGTGCCCCTTCCTCCTGCCTTCTTGGAGCCTTGTCGTGCCCTCCGTGGGATCCTGCCCATGTCCTTAGTTACTGGTACTGAACTGTTTGTAACCTAAGGTCCTGCAAGGTGCCAGGCGGTGGTTCCTCAGTCTGTATGTGCACATGTGTTCATGGACAGACCTTTGTACCTACATTCATATATCTTTGTTCCTTTAAACTGAAAACTCTAAGTAAGACTGGTGTTTCTGGTCCAACACCACAGGATCTATGTGTCTTCTTACCATCCATGTTGGTACTTCCTTTCTCTAAGGGTGAGAAACCTGGGTCCCGTGCTCCCTTATGTCTGTTTGACCAGATTTCCCAGGTGTCCACATTTGTAGCCTTTGTCCCCAGCACCACATGGCCCTGGCTAGGGCTCTGGTACCCGGCCAGCCCTTCTCACTCCTCCCAGCTTCTCCCTCCTCCCAGCCATGTGCAGGGGCCTGCCGTCCCCTTGGGGGCCCACAGCCTGTGCCGGCCGCCCCACTGCAGGACACTGTCTCCCCTGCTTGGAGCCATGGCCTCTCCTCCAGGGTGGATGCTCCCGACTCAGACTGACTCCTGGTCTGGGCAACCCCTGTACACACCTAGCCTGCTCAGCTCCACAAGCCATTTTTTGACTAAATGTTTTAGGACCAATATTTTAAAAAGGCACTCTCACTCCTGTGTGGAGGGGAGCAGGTGGAGAGGTGGTTCAGCGGAGGGCAGGGCAGGTGGGATGTGCCCAGCAGGTGACAGGACTGGATGCCCGGCTGCGGGTCTCCAGGTGGGCCTGTTGTCTGGGCTGCAGGGGCTACACCTGCCCTGCCATACTCTCTCTGCTCTGTGCTTCTTTTGCAGCTATTCAGCCAAGAGACAGTGATGAAATTTGTGCCACGGTATAGCCTTGTCCTGGAGCTCAGCGATAGTGGGGCCTTCCGGAGGAGCCTGCACGACCCTGAAGGGCAGGTGGTCACCTACGTGAGCGAGGCGCATGAACACAACGGGCACCTCTACCTGGGCTCCTTCAGGGCCCCCTACCTGTGCAGACTCCGCCTGCAGTCTGCTTAGGCCTGCTGTCACCCTATGCGCGTTGTCACCCGGAGCCCACTGTCACCCCATGTGCCGCCCCTGGGCCTGGAGGCACGTGGACACCCTTCCTCCCATGCCCGGTAGCCCGGGACGTGTGGTGCGGCCCCAGGACACCCTCACCTGGGCTCGGCCTTGCATTTGCTGAGGGGAAGATGAGTCCTTGTAAAGCCATTTTCTCTTAAAAACTTCCCCAAGTGTGGTGATTGTCTATGGGACCTGGGGACTTGGTGTACTCTGGTGGGGATGGATTTGTGGGTGAGCAGCTTGAGGTCTCATCCCTGCTGCTGGCTGTGTCTCACCAGCCTTGGTGTCTTTGCTGATAAACAGGTGTTGCCTGTCTTTGAGGGAGGGACTGCAGGAGGGTGAGGAGAGCACAGAACAAATGTGTGTGAGACCTCAAGACTGGCTGTGTGGGCAAAGACTCTTCCCCAGAGTCCTAAGGGACTGGGCCTCAGCCCTGGGTGTCCCTCCTGTGGCTCCCACCCTCCTCCCCTGCCCGGCCCCCTCCATCCCTCCCCTCCCTGGGCCCCTGCCAGTGTTCTGAAGGCAAGGACCCAGATGTGTGTGGAGGAGGAACATGTTGATTCTAGCCACTCAGAGGACTAGCGGGCTTCTCTGTGGACAGCCCGCTGTGCAAATCACTGGATGGGGATGGAAGGTGGGCGCCAGGCACCAGGAGCCCTGTTCACAACTGGTTCCTTGTCCCCAGACCCAGGCGTGAACAGTGCATGTGTCGGGGTTGCTTGTCTTCTGGTGTCATAAGCCTGACGGATGTGTCCACATGTGGTCCTGGTGGTGGGCGACCCCTGTGGATTGACCTGTGGATGGTGTTGCCAGGACTTTGTTCTCTGCTTTGATTCGCTCCAACAGCGAGTGAGGTCTGCTTTTCCGTGTGTCGTGAGGGCTCTTCTGCTGGGATCGTGCTTGCTTGCTTGGCTCCTCCCCCATGGGCTCCCACACTGACTCAGTCCACACAACACCGCTGTCCTGTTTCCAGCCTACCAAGCAGGGCTGATGTCTGCTCCTCCCTTTCCTGGTATTCGTGAGAACACATCAGGGATTGTGTGTCTGGAGTGGTCTTTGTGAGTTGAAAAGACGGTGTTTTGAATAGATGAATAGTGAATATCAAGGAGGGCCGACAGCAGTCGTGAGACCAGAACGACTTGTGTCGTGTGCTGACTCAGATCCCCCCCGCCCCTGTTTTAGGGGAGGACAGCCAGTCTGACGGGGGCCCATCCCGGGTCGACCTCTGCTCAGGGCCAGCTTCCCACACAGCTGCACAGAGCAGTCAGACTGGCTGCGTGGCAGTGACCTGTGTCCTGTCAGCTGATGTAACCTCACAGGAAATGGTGTTTAATAGGCAACAGTGCACCCGTGTATGATGTCTGCAGGAACAGTAGGGTAAAACCTGACCATTCTGCCATGAAAACGCAGCCCAAGCGCACTGACCCTGAACGTTTCTTGGTTGGGAGCCGGGAGCTGAGGGCTGTGCTGTTAGCGCAGAGGAGCTGGTAGCTTTTCACAGTTTTCAGCAAAGTTGTCTTTTTTTTTTTTCTGACTCAGGTGTTGCTTTTCTGTCTCAAAGTGTCATTTCCTGTGTTCTTTGTGGTTATTTGCCATGGCAAGGTGTAAAGCATAGCCTTGTTAGTCTTAAATATATGATAGACTTTTGTTGTAAACATAAAATGGATCTGTTCTAATGTGAATTGCTAACATGCTCTTAAAATTAAAGCAGGTGGTTCATTGATTGTGTGCTGCTTTATCATCTGTTACAGAAACACCGTCAGTACTCCGTCGCTGCCTTTTATAGGACCGAGGCCTCACGCTGAGGTTCTGTCATCAGCATTTGCTCTGTTGTGCTAAAGGGTTTTCACGTGTGCTGACCTCTTAATGATACAGGAGACTGGCCAAGTCTCACTGGGGAGCTGAGGCTGGGGAGGGACCTGCCCAGAGGTGCAGGTGGCCAGGGGTAGGGGACAGGGTGACCGCCCAGCCCAAGGTCAGACCTACAGGTACCTGGGTCCCTGGCACCGAGGCCGGGCAGCAGTGAGACTTAGCCTTGCGGCAGTTAGTACGCTAGGCTGTGGGTGTTCCTCAGAGCCTGGTCCATCTGCAGCCCGGGGTAGGGGTGGGGAGGGGGCCTGGAGCCGGATCCCAGAGTCTCCACGGCTGATGGGCAGGGGCGGAAGGCCTGGCAGGGAAGCTGGGGAACACTCAGGGTGGGCTGGCTGGCTGGAGTTTGGTTTTGGTCAGTTTGAGACCTGAGTGTTCCTTCTTGGTGGTAACTGTACGTCTTAGAATCCCGGGTCCTTAACTTGACATTTTCCTGGTGACACTGAATGAGATGGAGGACCAGCTTGCCGCTGTCAGAATCATTCTGAGGGCAGAGCCGCTGAGTTTTAAAAAGCACGCAGACTGGGTGGCAGTGCGGGTCGGAGGCCCCTGCTGGCTGGCACCCACCCCTGCGGTGAGTGATGCTGTCATGGGCACAGGGTGGGGGGAGCGGTCAGGGTTGGGGGTGCCCTGGAGTAGCTCCCCCAACACCTCTCCGTTCTGATGTCCCGTGAGGCCTGTGGGGCAGCGTCCAGGTGGCCCCGTGGTTGTCAGGAGAAGCCTGGCCTTGTGCTCCAGCGCATGTTGGTGCGTGAGGACAGAGGGGAGTTCAGAGCCTGTGTGCTGCATCAGTCGCGGTGGCCCCACGGGGGTGTCCCGAGGTGTTCGGCCCTGGCGCTGGACTCATGGTTCCCACTGTGCCCCACCATACGGTGGGCCCTCCCGTCACTGAGCTACCTTTCCAGTTCTCCCCTCAGTGGGTCAAGCATCAGGCCGAGCTTCAAGGGGGTCAGTTCTTTATTCAGGTTTATTCCTAAGTGTTCACCTCGGAGGTTGTGACTGAGCTGGTTGGGTCCCTGCCTGGTGCTGGGATGATTATTCAGCCTGAAGGACAGTCCTCTGGGCTTTCCTCGAGGGCCTGGGACCTCGGGGCAGTCGGGTTGGAGGCCCTTGGGGTCGAGAACCTATGTAACTCGCACCAGAGGATTCGCCCCATCTGTGCAGACCGGCTTCCCGTCCCAGCGACGATGTGGCTGTCCGTGGGCTCCTGGCGCCACCATTGTGTTCCTGGCAGGTGCCGTTCTCGAAGGACAGGTAACAACAGGGACGGAGCTGGAAGGTGGCAGTCAGTGACAGTGGAGGACAGACACCTCGGTGGTCTGCAGCCAGGGGATGACCCAGACTTCAGAGTAGCAGCTGAGGGTCTGAAAGGAGGGGTGGCCTGAGGGTTTCCTTCCTGGAGTCTGCCCACCCTACCAAGGCACCCCCATCCACTGCAGAAGCAGGTTCCCAGTGCCACTGCCTTGGGGGGGGAGGTTATGTATTCTCACGTGTGCTTATGTGCATGTGTTCACCTGTGTGCACATCTGTGTGCACACCCACACATAGGCATGTGTGTTTTCTTTACTGAAGAGTTCTCTTCCTGCCCAGACTTTATTTTGAAAAACTTCAAATCTACAGGAAAGTTGCAAGAGTAATTCAAGAATACACACTTGGGCTTCCCTGGCAGTCCAGTGGTTAAGAGTCCACTGCCAGTTTGGGGGCACGAGTTTGATCCCTCTTAGGTGAAGTTCCCATGTGCTGTGGGGCAATCAAGCCCGTGAACCAGAACTACTGAGCTTGCGCTTCGCAACAAGAGAAGCCTCCGCAGTGAGAAGGGCCTGCACCACGACTAGAAAGTAGCCCACTTCAGCAACGAAGACCAAGCACAGCCAAAAAGAGAAAAACAGTACATCCTCCACACCTCTATTTACAGATTACCAAGTTTTGCCACTGGCAACCCACTCTAGTACTCTTTGCCTGGAGAACCCCATGGACAGAGGAGCCTGGCAGGCTTCAGTCCATGGGGTGACAGAGTCGGACATGACTGAGCGACTAACACTTAAGTTCTGCCGCCTCTGCTCTCCCTGAGTGTGTATATATAATTTCTGAATTATGTCAGAGGTGTTTCTGCTCTCCTCGCACCTCCATGCCCTCAGTGTGTTCTCCTGGACACGTGCCTCTGGGGAGCGAGGAGGGCTGGGCGTTTGGGACGTCCGGGGGGGCTGCCTCCCACCTTCCGGTGTCAGGGTGGAATCTCGAGCCTCATGGGGAGAGAAGTGCTGAGGGTGACCTCGAGGCTGTGGAGGTGGTTGGGGGGGTGCGAGGGGCGGCAAGGCGAGACCCCCTCTTACCCACTGCAGGGTGCGGTTGGTCTGGAAGCTGCAATTGTCCAGGTTTGCGTGTCCGGTCTTCTTGCAGGTAGTTCTGCCGATGTCCATGTCCAGCATGAACTTCAGGCCTTTCACTATCTGAGGGGACAGAGGGTGGGCCCTGGACACTGGGTCCAGGACATGGTGAGAGAGGGGGTAAGCTGGGGGCCACCTCCCTCCCTCCAGGCTTGGGCCCTGGTTCCTACAGGTGGTGGGAAGGGAAGACCCCAATCCCCTGGTCTGGGCCCCTAGGGCCCAGGCACAGCTTTCACCCACGCAGACTGTCCTCTGTGATCCAGACAGCACCGCTCTCAAGAGTTTGCAATCGCCAAACAGAAGAGGGGTAACACAGTCACCTGCCAATCCTGTGCCCAGGGGATGACCATGAGTGTGTGTCAGCATGCCGGGTGGTGTGGGGCAGCATGGGTCCTCGGGTCAGTGGATGTGAAGCTTGTGACTGGCTGCCTTGGGCCCCTGCTTTTAGGGGGTGAGTGTGTCCTGTACCCTCGACCTGTGTTCTCAGGACCCAGGATGAGCCAGGTCTGGCTGCCCCATGGGGTCTCTGTGTGGGGAGCATCAGGCCTCTCATACGAGGTCACTGAGAAGCATGGGGACCTCCCAGGATGTGATGTGTGTGGGGACGGGGCATGGTGGGGGCAGCATGGCCAGAAGTGCTTTGGGGCTGCGGCGTAGCCGCCTGCAGGCAGCTCTGAAGGTGGGTAGCAGTGCAGCTTGTGCCCCTGCCCCAGGGGCTGCACTGTCCACCCTGGGGAAGCCTGATCCGCTGAGAGATGGTGCCGGCCTTGGAGCCTGACGCAAGTGGCCCCAGGCTGGTTCTGGGAGGTCAGATCTGGTCAGACCTGGCTGCCCTGCACTGTCGCAAGCCCAGACCTCACCTGGACAAGCGCCCTGCTGACGCGGGACTCCCGGAACAAGAAGGCGTCATTGCTGCAGTTGTTGAAGCTCTCAGCGCTGTGTCGGGCCGCCCTGAGGACATCCGGGTTGTTGGTCTTGATGGTCTTGGGAAATCCTGGTTTCACATCTGACTTAAGGATCTGGGAGCAAAAGTCTGGACGAGAAACAGAACCAGATGAGAACTTTGCTGAGCGGTGGGGGCTTGGCCCAGGGATCACGTCTCCCACCTCTGTTCCCAGTGTGGCCCCTGCCTGTCCACCCCTCCCATCCAACCACCTGGCCTGTCCCCGCCTCCCCTGGCCATGTACCCTCCTGGCCTTTCCACCCCGCACCTCCCGGTGCATCTCCTGTGTGTCCCTGTGGCTGCCCTGTCCCCCACAGAGGGCCAGTGTGGTGGGGGGCAGAGATGGATAAGAAGAGGTTCTGTCCCTGCCCGCCTGGCCCCTTTCAGAAGCCAGGTCATCTCTGACAGTCACAGGAACCTAGACAGCCCCCCAGAGCCTCTGTCAGAATGAGCCCTGGTGTGCAGAGAAGTTGCCCCTGGCCTCCGAGGCTGCCCTCTGGACTCTGACCCCTCCACTTGTCTCCAGCAAGTGGCTGAGGGGGAAGTGCCTGGAGGCCGTCCATCACTCCTGGGACCCTGGACTGAAACCACCAGGTTGCCAGGTCCCTGGGGCACCCGTGTGCTGCTCCTCTGGAAGTTCAGGAAGCAGGTGGATGGCAGAATTTGTAGTTGGCAGTTCAGGACTGACTGGATTTCAAGCCGACATTTCTTGGTTTTGCTGCGGTGGTCACAGACTACTTGTGCATTAAAATAAAAATTGTGGGGGAGGGAGAACGGAAAGAGGGTTTGGGTGGTAGATTGCTTCTCTTTACTAGGAATTCCCCCGATTTTCCTGAAGTCATCCTGTGCCTAAGGTGATCCAGAGCTGTCCCATGCCCCGGTGCCTGCTCAGCTGTGGTCTTCCTCTGAGTCGTGTGGAGTGTGGGGTCCCCGTTTCATGCACAGCCCGAGTCAGGGCTCAGCTGCGTTCTGGCCAGTGTGGAGGGTCTGTTGGCGTGTGCTGCCTGGAGGGTTACTCTGCCTCCCTTGACCGTGACCTTGAGAAGCACCTTGAAGATTCAGTGGGGCTGGGGTCAGCACAAGATGGGCAGGCCGGAGCCACAGACGTGTGGATGAGCTTCCAGGCATAGAGTGTGGAGAGAAGGAGTCAGTGCTGCCCGGGTCCCTCATGGGGGACTCGCTGGGACTGTAGACTTGGGGTGCTGGGTGTGGGTCCCACTATCAGGACACACAGCTCCCTGGTTGTGAAGAAATCTTGACTCCTGGGAGGAAAACCATGCTGTGAGGTCAGCAGCGCATGGGGGCTTCATTCCTCAGGAGCCGGAATGGGGAACAGAGACCCCAAGTCATGAGGCTGACCAGGCTGAGAGGACCTTCAACTTGAGCTGGGGGTGGGTGGGGGTTAGGCCCAGTGGGCTGGTTGAGCCGGGGCCCAGGAACCTGGCAGGATGGCCTGTGTGGGTCTGTGTGCTCAGGAGCCCAGGCTGGGGTCAGTCAGAGATGCTGGAACCTTTCCTGGGGCCGGCCTGTCTATGGGTTCTAGCAGAGGCTGGGACGTGGCGGACGCCCGGCTCAGCTCTGCAGGGTGATCTTGCCGGGGTGTCACTGATGTGGCTTAGATTGAGGCTCCCGGAGAAGGCTGGTTCCACAGTTGCCTGAGGTCTTCATGAAGCCCTCCTTAGAACTGGGCATCTGACGTGGCAGCAGGCACAGGAGACCCCCACCAGGAGTGAGAACCAGGCCGGCCGGGCCAGCCACATTAGCCCAGCTGAGGGGTGGAGCGTGGAAGAGGTGCTGGCCTTGGGCAGAGAAGCCGCAGGCCCCGTCTGGGTCTGGGTAGGGTCTCTGTAGGGCCCCTGACCCTCCGTGTGGCCCGCTGGCGCCTGTGACAGCCTCTTTTGTCAGGGGGACTGGCACTGGCTGCCCGAGCGGGACCCCTCCTGGCAGGTGGGCCCAGCTGGGTCTCTGGTCGAGTCAGAGCCCTGGACGGCTCTGCAAGGCCCGCTCAGCTGGGGGCCTGCTCCACCCTGGTGAGAACGTCCCGGCATGGGATGCTGTCACTGGTCCCCCACCAAGCTCTGTCCCCAGCGTCTCTGAGACTCTCCTTTGCAGTGACCCAGCCCTCGTGATGTCCCACAGAGGCTGGCTGTGGCTGAGGTCTCTGGACATGGCAGCTGTGTTGGTTGGCCATCTGGGCCCTGAGCCCGTGGCTCCGACTCTGGTGCTGGAGAGCTCCTGGCCTGCTGTTGATGACGGGAAGTCCAGTGTGGTTTTCTGTTGGGAGAACAGCTTGATTTCTGCTCATCAGCATAGTCTATAAACAGCAGGAGCACCTGTTGGACAGCGCAGTCTCCCGTGTGTTTATAGATCTATATCCATGGCTGTCGATTTTTCCTTTGTACGAATCACATATGGTGCCTTTTATGATTATTAGCTTACCTATCTGGTAGGAAACTTGAAAAATATAGAAAAGTATAACAAAAATGTTAGAGCTCACTCTCAGTGTTGCAAAGATAATCACTGTCACCTGTTTTTTAAATAAAATGTATTAAATTTCATGTCACTTGAACTTAACGTGATTGTATTAATAATAACGAAGTGAAACTAGGCGAGGCCAGACCTCCGATGAACGGCCCTCCCAAACGTGTGACGTCAGTTCTTAAGTGCTTTTGGTAAAATTACAGAGGTTGTGAGAATCATTGAATTTGGTTTATTTTTAACTACATTTCCTAAAATATAGGCTTCAGGTCACTGAGGCCTTGTCAGCAGACTAGTCAGAGCAAACGATAGAACCTCATTTTTAGTTTGAAAAAGTTGAAAAGTCAAACCTATTTTCAGAACGATTCTTCAAGACATCTACAGGGAAAAGCTGGGGGCAGAATAAGCCCAAGGTGGGGGGGGGATCTTCTTTCAGAAGAGAGGCAGCTGGGTGGGGGCCAGGGTCCCAGCCAGGTAGCCTGGCCCCCCACCCCCGCCGAGGGGTTCCCGGGGGCTGTCTTCCTTGCACCTGTACCCCGTCTACAGGGAGAAAACAGTCCTCCAAGAAGTGCAGGGCGGATTTAATTCCATGTTCTAAAGCCGTGCTCTTTTTTTCTCTCAAGAAGTATTTCTGGAGGGGTGCTGGGAGTGATGCCGGGGGCTGGGGGGGCACACAGTCCAGAGGTGGGGGTCGGTGATGGTGACAGTGACCTGGCAGAAAGGGCTTCAGGAGGGAGCAAGGTGGGGACCAGTTGGAGGCCCGGGAGGTACGTGGGGTTGGGGGGTGGAGGGTGGGAAAGGAGAGCAAGAGCCCTGAGCTGGAGGCTGGGTGTGGGGCCCGGAACGGGACTGTGACTCACGCTGGTGGCAGGTGGTGGCCTGGTGACGTGGGCTGAGAGGACCACCAGGAGGCGAGGTTGTGAGGAGGAACAAACGCTCTGCCTCCCACACCCAGGGGTGGCATGGAGGGAAGTGAGGTCTCCAGATGAGGTGGGGCGATGGAGGCTGTGGTCCAGAGGGGCACAGGGGAGACGGAGGTGGGCAGACTCCTGAGAGGGGTGGGCCCCTCACGGCTCTTGGGAGAGAAAGAGCTCTTCAGCTGGTCTGGAAAAAATAACTCAGGCGGCAGGAGATTCGGCAAAGAAGACATGGAGGAGCCAGGGACTTGGGGAGGTTAGGGGGACGGCGGCAGGTGGCCGGCACTGGGTCAGGGGTCTGGCCTCTCCCGGAGACACAGTAGTCGTGACACCCGGATAAGCCCCTGGGCAGGAGTTGAAAGGCCTGGAGGGAGGATGGCAGAGGCACAGCCTTCCCGCGGCCAGAGCAGATGCCCCTGGTGGAGACGGGGTGTCGTCTCAGACCAGGGTAACAGAACTGGGCCCAGACAGGTCATGGGCAGGAACCCGTGTGGGCCCGGCCCCTGGCAGACCCTGCCCACCCACCCTGACACTGCCAAGGCTGCTCCCGCTGATCCCCGGATGGCTCGGGCCAGGCCATCCCGGTGGACTCCCCGGCCACTCCCTTCTGTGAAGTCACCCCAGGCCCCTTCAGCCCAAGATGCAAGGGAATCGAGGACTCTCTCCTCTCCTGGTGGTGAGAGTGGGAAGCAAAGCGTCAAGGAACCGTTCTGATGTTTCTGGCTGGTAAGTTAACTTTGCATCAGCGTCCTGAGTGACCCCTCCTCCAGTTGCTGTCCTCCCTGCTGGACAACCCCTTCTTCAGAACCAACGCCAGCCTCCCCCCATGCTCTCGGTGGCCAGGCCCTGTGCTCGCCCTCACGGAGTGGGGCACTCTGCTCCCACCAGGAGTGTGTGGGCGCTTCACAGGCGTCTAGGGGTCAGGGCAGGTCCACTGCTGACCAGGTGGACGCTATCTGCAGCCCCGGGAGTGGCAGCAACCATTAACTGTTCCCACTCTGGTTACAGAGGACAGGGTCTGCCCTCGAATCACCACCAAATGTTCAGAAAGCGTCCCGGGAGAGGACAGCAACTTCCTGACAGAGACCGGCTGTAAAATGAATCAGTAGCAAATGTTTTGCATAAACAAACGTCCCTCAACTTGTTTTTCTAAAAACTGAAGACACATGGGAGGCACTGAAGCCTGGGACGCTGGCCGTGGTCCACACACTGAAGATGGGGAGGGAGCCGGGCCCTTTGGGGAGTCCGTCTCTCCGGCCTCGTGGTCCCTCCCCGTGGGTGGATGAAACGGCCCTTCGGGGAGGGGAGTTTCCTGGTGTGGAAGGGCAAGGGGGCTCCTGAGTGGCCCAAGGCTCCCCACCTCTTCCTGTTTCAGGAGTGTTCTAGGTGTGCCTGGGAGGGGGGTAACCCGAGAAGAGAACCAGGGTGCCCAGGAGTGGAACACTCTGACGTCTCTGCAGAAGGCCCATCCCCCACACTGAGTGCCCGGGGGTTTCCTCCTGGTGGTTGCTTCTCTGCCAGTTTCATGGGGCCCTTGTCGTGGGCAGGGCCTGGGGCTCACACCGGGGTGGGGAGGGATCGTGCCCAGGGACTGGGATGCTGGTGTCCATAGTCTGCCTGGAGGTTCACCCCGAGCCATGCCCCGTCATGTGACATCACATCTCACTGAGCCGGTGGTTGCCCTTAATTCTGTGGGGCCACACCCACCGGCTGTGCTCTGGGGGCTCTGAGGGATGAGTTGCCCTTCGTTTAGGGGGCGTGTGTGTCCCCCGGCACAGACAGGATGCTAGTTAGTCCCAGCCTTAACCCACCGGGACCCGCCCAGAGTGAATCCTAGCTCTGTCTCTCAAAGGCTGTGTGGTCTTGGGGAAATTGCTTGACCTCTCTGAGCCTCTCTTGATGGCACCTACCACTCAGGGTTGTGGTGAAAGTACCAGAGACCATCTGTAGGAAGGTCTTGTCGTTAATGGGCGTGTAATAGTGTCGCAACTGTCAAATATCAAATATGCAAAATGCATATATGCAGTGGGGGTAAAGGGTGTCCCAGGTGGAAAAAAACCTCAGAATGCAGAGGGTGGGTCAGGGGCCCCCATGCCAAGATGCGGCATTCTTCCCCCACGGGATGCAGCCCGGCATGGGCCTCCCTTGTGGACAGTGGTCTCTGGGTGTGCCCAGGTCCTGTCACTGGTGGCCGGTGGGCTGGACCCCAGGCCCTGCCCAGGTGGCCTGTGGTGGGAAGCTGGGCCCCTGGGAGCCTGACTAGGGGGGCTTCCCAGGAGAGGTGAGAGTCAGCTTGAGAGAGAGGGCTTTCCATTCTCAACTGAAGGCAGAGCAGCTGAAGAAATTAGCGCAGCGGTTTTCTAGGTTCTGAAGGGCTCAGGTCAGCACCAGGGGTGGGGAGAAGTCAGGCCCAGGGCGTGACACTGGGGACCCCTGTCCCACCACTGTGGAAGGCTCTGGAATCTGTTCTTGGAGGAGGGCTGTGGTGAGGGCAGACTCAGGGCCAGGGCTGAACTGTCTCTGCCGGACCACCAGCCAAGGATCTCTAAGCCCCTCACTCTATAGACAGGGCCAGAGGCCTTCGCTGGGCCTGGGCTCCATCACAGCAGAGAGGGTCTGTGTGGCGTGGGGGCTGCGGCCAGCAGAGACTCAGGACCTGGGGTTTGGGCGGGTGACTGCCCAGCACCCCAGACCCAGGGGGACTGCCTTCCTTGGGCCACAGCAGCCAGGCTCCTGGGCCTCCGGCGGTCCAGTAATTTGCCCATTTCATGGATGGTGAGACTGAGCTCAGACAGGCTCGAGCTCCCAAGGCCTCTGCATGTGAGTTGGACCCTGGGCCCTCCTTCCTCTGGGCTGTGGGGCTGTGAGCAGAGCTGACGGGGGGGGGGGGGGCGGGGGGGAGCCCGGCCAGCCAGAGGGGCACAGCAGGGGCAGGCCACTCCTGCGGGGTTGGAGACGGCTGGGTTCAGGGCCAAACCCCGGCAGAGGGCAGGCAGTCCCACCCAGGGAAGAGGCCCACGCCCAGTGCCTCTGGGCCAGGATTCCCCTCACCATCCACTTGTTAGGGGAGGAAGGGAGGCAGCAGGAGCAATTTAGGGCCGGGGAGAGTAGGAACGCCCATCCCAGTGTGGTGGAAACGTGGGCCTCTCACTCGGCTTTCCCTTCGGATGGGCACTCGGGGGTCCCAGGCAGACAGATGGCCCAGAGGAGAGGCCCTGTGGTGTTCACAGTGTGAGCTAAGACCGCGACCCTGGGGAGGGGACCGAGGTGGGGTGTCTGGTCCCTGTGATCCCCGAGATGGGCCAGAGCCCCAGGCAGTGTCGCCCACTCCCAAGACTGTGACCCCTCCAGGGACTGAGAAGCTTGGGCTGTCTCCTTGTCACTTGCCCGGGCACCTCCACCTGGTCACCTGTGGCCAGGCTTCAGCCTCCTTTGAAGATGGAGGAAGGCAGAGAACAGTTGTTGCCTGGGCACTGCCCCTACGCCCTGCACTGCCGCTGGTCATTTCAGCTCCGGCCAACAGCTTCCTTGTGCACGTGGGGCCAGGTGCTCAGGGGCTGTGTGACTGGGCGAGTCACCTACCCTCTCTGGGTCTCATTTCCTGGCGGCTCCCCTCGGCTTCCCCTAGTGGCGGCCTGGCCGGAAGGATAAATGTTCCCCTAGACAAGTCACAGGGCCGCAGTGGAGGCTGGAAGGATGCGCTCTCAGAAATGGCCTGACCCTGCGAGCTGTCCCCACGGAGGGGCCCTGGGGGAGGGCCTCCTTTGGGCACCCACAGACACCAGGAATGGCGGGGAACAGAAGGCGGTTCATTGGCCCCCAGAGCCCCCAGTATCCCTAAAACCTATTCCCCACAAAGGCAGCCTCTATGAGGTCCCCTGGAATGTGCCTTGGTGACGTGTGAGCATCAAGCTCATGGCGCCCGGGGCAGTGGGGAGATCCCCTCTTACCTGGTGAAGGCTTCCCCAAGACACCCAGGACCAGGCCACAGACGGCCAGCAGCGCCCCGGCAGGGTGCATGGCTGTGCTCAGACTGTGCTGGGCAGGAGTGCCTCCCCGAGGTGGTGGGGGAGCCCCGCCCCGCAAACCGCCTCTCTGGGGCGGGCTGGTGGTTTCTTGCTGTTCACCTCCACATCTCTCAGCTGCAAACTCAACCGCTTCCTTTGTAAGAATTTCCAAACAACGATTATTTGCAGAGGGAGGAGGAAGAAGTGAGAGCAGCTAGCAAAACCTCTGCAATTTTCTGCCCTGGAAACACGTGGAAGAGATGTCCAGAGAAAAATGAGCAGGGATTTTCAGAACAGATGCTCGGGGTTTCTCCTCCAAAGGCCCAGATTCTGGGGTCCGAGTGGCCCCCTGCAGGAGACCGTCCTCCTGGCATGAACGGGCCGATCTCCCTGGGAAGTGGCCAGAAACCAGGGCGCAGATTGCAGTTCAGAGGAACCAGGTGAGGAGCAGGGTTTGCTGATGAGTGACTGATCCTCCAACCTTTGGCTCAGAGCTGGCAAAGGAGACCAAGGAACAGGGCCGAACAGGGCCTGGCCCAGTGGTCCTGGCACCCTGCCTGAGCGCCCTCTACAAGCCCAACCCACGGTTAGGAGAGGGGCTCTGGAAGCACGTGGCCTGCAGCTCAGCCCCTGAACACCTGGGTGACCTGGGGCAAGGGTCTCCAAGCCTCAGTTCCTCAATTAGTTTGTGCTGAGAATTTGGGGACATCGTGAATGTAACAGCCCTTGTTACAGCCTGTTAGTGTTAGTTAGTTAGTGTGAGTCTCTCAGTCATGTCTGACTCTTTGTGACCCCATGGACTGTCACCCACCAGGCTCCTCTGTCCATGGGAGTCTCCAGGCAAGAATACTGGAGTGGGTTACCTTCTCCAGGGGAATCTTCCCAACCTGGGGATCCGAACCTGGATCTCCTGCATGGCAGGTAGATTCTTTACCATCTGAGCCACCAGCTACCTGTGCCTTCCCCCAGGTGCAGCAGGGAGTCTGGCTGGCCTGTGCTCACGGCCTTGACCCTGTGGTAACTCAGGGGCCCATGGTCACTGCTGCTGGTCCTCAGGGCCACGGGTCATTCCCACTTTCAGAAGCTCTGGGGTAGGGGGGCTCAGAGTGGTTATGGGACCTGCCTACGGCCCATCTCCAGGCCTTGGCCCTGTTGTCTGTGAATGTGGGTGATGGTCTACTTCACCGCCCAGGCCTGTGGGTTAGCAGAGGCCCAGAGATGAGGAAGGAGTGGGGATTACAGTGTGTTACAGGACCTGGGGAAGTGTGTGTGTGTGTGTACTGTGTATGCATGAGTACCCTGGGGAAGTGTGTGTGATGTGTGTGTACTGTATTACATGTGTCCAGTGTATGCATGTACACCCCAGGGAAGTGTGTGTGTGTGTTACATATGTGCATGTGCATCCCTGGGAAGTATATGTGTGTACTGTGTTATATGTGTCCCGTGTATGCATGTACACCCCAGGGAAGTGTGTGTGTGTGTTACATATGTGCATGTGCATCCCTGGGAAGTATATGTGTGTACTGTGTTATATGTGTCCCGTGTATGCCCGTGCACCCTGGGGAAGTGTGTGTGTTACATATATGCATGTGCACCCTGGGGAAGTATGTGTGTGTGTGTACTGTGTTACATGTGTCCCGTGTATGCCCGTGCACCCTGGGGAAGTGTGTGTGTGGTGTGTGTGTCCTGTGTTACATGTGTCCTGTGTATGCATATATACCCCAGGGAAGTGTGTGTGTTACATGTATGCATGTGCATCCCAGGGAAGTGTGTGTGTGTGTGTGTGTGTGTGTGTACTGTGTTACATGTGTCCTGTGTATGCATGTGCACCCCAGGGAAGTGTATGTGTGTGTGTGTGTCCTGTGTATGCACATTCAGCAGTCTTTATTTCAGTCTTGACATGTGTCTGAACGTGAAAGTGAAGTCGCTTAGTCATGTCCAACTCTTTGTGACCCCATGGACTGTAGCCTACCAGGCTCCCCTGTCCATGGAATTTTCCAGGCAAGAATACTGGAATGGGTTGCCATTTCCTTCTCTGAATGTGAACATGTGTCTGAATGTGAACCCATGTGTAAGCATGTGTTTCTGAGTGTGAATGAAAGGTGCGTATGTTCTTATGAGCAGATGTGTGTAAGTTTGTGTGAGTGGGTGTTTTGTATGTATGTTGTGATGTTGGTTTTATGCGTCAACTTAACTGGGCCACTGCGGGCCCAGACACTTGGTCAAGCATGATCCCCTGTGTGTTCATAGCAATGTTTCTAGAAGGGATCATCAGCGTTGGAGCCAGTAAACTGACTAAGGCACCCAGCCCTCCTGTGTGGTGGACCTTGTCCAATCAGTTGGAGGCCTGAATACAACAAAGGCTGAGGAATAGGAACCCTCCCTGTCTTCCAGCTGGGTCATCTGTCTTCTCCAGACTTCAGAATTGGACTGGGACTGTCCTGGGTCCAGACTTCTCAGCCTCCTTGATCCCACAAGCTAATTCCTTGTGATAAATCCCTCCCCACGGCCTCTGTCTGTCTGGAGAACCTGACTGATACCCTTGGGCAGGTATCTGTGTGTGTGTATCTGTGTGAGAGTGTATACAACCTGAAGTCTGCCTGTTCACGTGTGTGTGTGTCTATGCATGTGTGTGTATCTGTGTGAGAGTGTATACAGCTTGAGAGTCTGCCTGTTCCTGTGTGTGTGTCTATGCATATGTGTGATTGTGTGTAGGTGTGTACATGCACTCTTTCTGCCCCACCTGTGGCCTGGCTGCTGGGGGTCTCGGACTCTGCACTGAGCCCCACTCATTCCTTCAGGGCCCGTTCATCACTCACTTCCTGCCACTTCTCCTGCATGAAGTGTGGTGTGTGGTCCCCTGGCCGGTGTGGTCAGGACTCCCTGCCCCGGATGTAAGTACAGCTTCTCAGGCTCTACTCCTGATCAGGCTCTGTGAGGGGAGGCCCAGGAATGTTCCACAAACCCTCCACGAGACCTTCGGTCTCCAAGGTCAAGCTTTCTGGCCTGGAGGGTCACTGGCATGCATAGTGTCCTTCTGACTTCCATGTCATGCCTGTTGCTGATTGGCTGGAGCCATCCAGTTCTCAGACTGTCCTTCCCGGGCAGCCCAGCCACGTGGTCATGGAGTGAATGGGACACTGGAGCCGTCCTGCGGCTCTTGGGTCCTGAGCTTCCTGCCTTGTGCTGCCCATCTTGGCCATGGCTGGGCTTGGGGAGCTGGGGCTCTGCCTGCAGTGCTGCTGTGTTAGTTTTGATTACGGTGGTGGTGACGATTAGAGGGTGTGTTCCAGCACTGGCTCTGTGCCCAGCCATTTTCTAAGCTCCGTCTTTTTAATCCCTACACTGTTTGACAGGGAAACTGAGACACATGGGTTGAGGAGTAGCAGGACATTCTGAAGAGCTGGGGCCCAGGCGAGCAGTGTGGTCTTGGCCACTGTCTTGCTCCCCCTGACCCCAACCCTGCCCAGGGGCCCCGAGCTGGAAGTGCTGGCAAGCCTACAGACGTCAGCTTGGCCATGGGGATCCCTGATGGTGGCCTGAGGGGGCTGCCATCTGTCCAGCACGACTGTTAGCAAAAGCATTACGAGGCCCTGCAGAGCAGGGAGTATGGGAGCCTTGGGAGTAGTCTGGGTGTGTGCATGTGTGTGTGTGTGTGACTTTTGTGTACCCAAACAATGTACAGAAGAAACACAAAAACAGATTGCCCCTGGAGAAGATTATCCAATGGGCCTCTGACCCTTTATGTCTGCATATGCTTTATTTTCTAAAGTCCATAGTAGTTGTCTGAATGGAGAAACAGGAGGGTGCTTTTTGGTCCAAAAAGAGCTGATGGTCTGAGTGGGGGGCGAGCAGACTTTGTCCACATGGTGGTGCTGTGACCCAAGAAACAAGCAGGTCTAGCCTGGCGTTTCCCAGGCTCAGGGCTGGGGCCTGGGGGCTTCCTCCTCTGCTCTGGGACCCCCCTGCTCCTGTCCTCATGTCTGCACTGTTTTGGTGATGGATTTCAGCAGGCCTCAGCCCTCTCTGGGGAAACGCAGTTCTTAGCAGGGAGGACTCTGCAGGTCTTCGGCCTGGGGACTCTTCACCCTCCCCAGGCTGGGCCTCATCCTGGGGGATTTTGGTGCTCGTGGGGGTGGGGTTCCCACACCCAGTGCCGCCCACAACCCTCTGTCAAGGCCACGCTTCTGCACATGGGGGCTGCATGACTGGACACAGCTGCTCCACTAGATCTGGGATGTCCCTGTGGAGATCCCCAGGGGGTGTCTGAAGTCACCTAAGATGCTGACGCCCCACCTGGACAGATCTCTGCAGGGCTGTTGGCCTGGTGGCTCCTGGAGCGGCAGGCAGAAGCTTCATTGCCTTTTATGAACTAGCCTTCAAAGTCACACGGGGTTACTTCTGTCATAACCACAGACCTGTGCTGTGCTTATCACTCAGTTGTGTCTGACTCTTTGCCACCCCATGGTCTATACAGTCCATGGGATTCTCCAGGCTGGAATACTGGAGTGGGTTGCCGTGTCTTCCTCCAGGGAATCTTCCCAACCCAGGGATCGAACCCAGGTCTCCCACATTGTAGGTGGATTCGTTACCGTCTGAGCCACCAGGGAAGCCCAAGAATCCTGGAGTGGGTGGCCTATCCCTTTTCCAGAGGATCTTCCTGACCCAGGAATTGAACTAGGATTTCCTGCATTTCAGGTGGATTCTTTACCAGCTGAGCTACGAGGGAAGCAGACCAACTTAGACTCAAAGGACAGGAAACAAAGCCAGCCCCATCTCTCGGGGCCGGGGTCACTGTAAGAAGAGCATGGGGGAGGGGACATGTCTGCCTTGGGTGGGTCCAGAGAGAATCAAAGGCTAAACCTCTCTGGAAGGGACCCTGCCTCCCTGACTTTACCACCCGCTGCAGGTAAGCCTACAGGTGAACCTTTACCACACCTGTTGCTGTCTGCATGGTCAGGACAGGGCGGTGGGGTGGTGGGGCAGTGGGCCATCGGGCCCCACAGCCCAGGG